TGAAAAAGCATCTACATGTTAAACAGATTAAAATTGCATAGATTTCAGACTTAAGGTAGAAAATGCTCCAACACGAACCGCGCCGTGATTGAAGGAACTTGTGATTGGAGTTGTTTGGCTCTTTCCTGCAAACACTTTCCTCAGCGCTCGTCCTCCCTCTGCCGCTCACATTAACACGCTTCTATCATTATCCCCCCTACACCCGCACCCTTCTGTGTAATAACTGGATGCAGGATGGAAGAACGAAAGAATGAGTTTCCGCTCTTTCCTTTTTTCTTTTTTTTTTGTGGAGCATCTAGAATGAATGATTGATGTGAGGGGAGCGAGATCAGAAAGAAATAATCACGGTCTAACGAACGCAGAGCCTTAAGAAATATATACTAGAGCTGTGGCATAAATTTATAAACAGACCATATTTTAATATACAAGTAGTTTATTGAATATTCAAAAAGAGGGAAATAGCATTACCCGCGCACCTTTTGTGCGCTGTGCGTACATTATAGTCCCTCCTTGGGCAGCGACCTGGCAGAAAAAAGATCAACTCCATCTGCAGTCTGTTCGTCTCTGTAAACCTCACAAGTTATTTCACCATAAACACCAGCGAGACAAAGATTAAACCCAATCATGTTCATTGTCAGCGCCGAAACAAATTGCCATTTTCTTTGAATGACATATGTTTTTGTGTGGAGACGCGCAACGCCAACGCAGGGAGATAGCTTCATTTCCGAGCTTTGAGCACAGATGAGGGGGAAGACAGTGAGTCCATGTTCGGTATATGAGCACCTTTCACGGGACAAATGGAATGTCAATCAAGGACCGGTACACAGATGCGCCGTCCCCGGCGGGGGACCGAGATGCTTTCTGGTGATGCAGCTCTGTTGTTCCGGCCTCACTCTGGGTGCACTGGGAATATTTTTGTCCTTTTACCTCTCCTCATCCCCTCGCTCCATTTCAGATCCCGCCGGCTCTTAACGATTTCTTCGGCTCCCCAAGTTTGTCTCTTTTACGTGCGTCCTTTTCCCTTCTTCTACTTTTTAACGTCGGAGCCTTGCACGAAAAGCTCCTCACTCAGCTCTCCTTTGTTTTCACAGTTGTTCTGTTTCTCTGAAACGTCTCGACAATTCTTGTTAGTGCCCCAACAAGAGGAAGTATATAGAAACCAAGTGTTGACTTGTCTTTCCACCCTAAGGGTCTGTCTTTATAGAACTTGAGGACATTACTACATTCATTGAAAACAGGGAGCTCAGAGTGACCATTTGGAAGGTAATGATCACACATCGTCTTTTCACAACACATAGTGGTGAATTGAACGCGCCAATGTCATCCAACCCTAAGTTCTCCGTTTCAACCTACCACTATGATGTGATATGAAAAGATTGATCAAGGTGCTAAAACTAGTAAGTCCTGTGTGTTAGATTTTCAAAAGTTGGTGGTACAAATCCACCTACATGCAATGTGTATGAAATGCGACAAAGATCTGGAGCATTGAAGATTCACGCAACTCTTGAAAGACTGAGGAACCGGCATCATTGACAGGCCAACATGTTTTGGCCTGTGCCAATCATCAGGGTCATTACAAAACTCCAGAAAGTTTGTGTTTAACCCTGTCCAGGCAGATGTTGCAGATTTGCAACAGCTCTCTGAGGAGCACTGTACTGAAAAGAAGTGCTACTTAGCTAGTCTTTGCAAGTAATTTGAGCCTGAGAGGGTTAAAATGCTTAGATGAATTTCCTGTCCTATTAAAGGCCCAAATTTCTACCACTGAAGAGTCTTCAGCGCTCCATCAAGCTCTCTCCAGAGATAGTCAGCTTAACTGTGCTTCTTTGAAATCTCTAACATTTTCTAAGAAGAACGCTCCAGATGGGGGGTTTTATGTCACTGGTGCGCAGATTCTCAGAACTCAGAACAACAGTTTTTACTCAGTGTTGCTTTGGAGAGTCACCTCTGAGTCCATTACAACCACTCTGCAGAAATAATCCCACTACCTCCCGTGGCCCAAAAAGCCACAGGAGTTTGGATTGGCTGAGTCTTGCATTGGTCCATAATTGGAAGTAAAGAAATGAAAAAATAAACAAATTAAAAAATCCCACCATAAAATATTACGGATCTTCAGGAAGTTGCTCCATCTCCAACTGGCAAAGGTTCCTTTCATAAAAACAAAATCAACATATTCTGTCACTATTTCATCGAAATGTCACCACTTATGACTCTCCATAACTGGTAAACTAGAGATTACGAGCAGAGGTGGGAGTCACTTCTTCTGCGACTTCTCTGCATAGAAAGTGATGATTGCTGCCTCCAGGTCAGTGGTCAGTCTCTGCCTCAATGAAGGAATTCAAGAATCTTGGTGCCTTGTAACCAAAATTATGGCAGGATGAAGTAGGAGACGGATAGACGTGGCTCATGTTCAGATCTGGTGTGATGAAGAAAGACCTGGGTCAAAATACTCTTAATTTACAGGTCCATCTAGATTCTAATTGCCCCCATCAATTGGGAAGATGCGATCAAGTATTGAAATAGACCGAAACGTGTTCCTTCGAAGACCTAAGGTTCCCTTCTAGCCTGCGATTGCCTAAGTCTTCTCCAGAATGAGTATCTCTGCCAAACAATATTTAGGTTTTCACAGTAACCGATCTCATAGGTGGAATGGGTAGATTGTTCTTAACTTTTACTGAGCTAAACTGGGGTATTGTAATGTTATTCCCTGATCACAGAGCGCCCCACTCCCACTCAGCTCCTTCAGACTAGCCAGCATCAATTAGCAATCACCTGATGGAAGTGCACGTCTGTTGAGCTCCTATGAACTTCTTTTCAGTACAGTGCTCCTCAGAGTGGCTGTAAACGACATCCTGGACAAACATTGTGATGACGTGCTAAAGCAGAAGCTTCTTAGAGATGTCAATTTCAAGGCGTCGAATTGCAAAGTAAAATTTCTTTTGACCCTCTGATAGTCTTAAGAGACGGGGTCATTTGAACCCCTCAAGCTTTTTATTCTGTGTATGGGAGGAGCTGCACTGACCCTGCGTGTCTTTCTGCTAGCTTTTTTTTTTCTCTCTTGGTGAGTGTTTTGGGAACTGATGGTCTGACAGGACGATCCTCCTCCCCCGTTGGTTCTCGGCTGTCTGATCGTCATTTGCCTGAACATTGTACGAGAACGTGGGGGGTATAAATGTGTGATATTCACAGCATTTATACAACAGCTGAAGGTAACAGCTACGTGACTGTGCTATAAAAAGGCACTCTGTACCTAGAAAATACATAATACTGCCCATTTAGAATATTTCTACATAGTACAAGCCATATAAACAGAATAATAACAGTTGGCTGCCACATCTACACTATTTAAATGACTTTACAACTCCCCAGAATACACTTGTTGTAGAAGCTATTTCTCCATTTTTCAGTTAAATATTAGAATTTAGATAATTTAGTTCATTTTTATTTGATTATTTTGTAGTTGATTTATAATTAGAATTTTTGCCTAATTTGTTATTTGAAATAGGTTCTTTGGTTAGTAATTCACTTAATTAATTAATTTCAGTTTGGGATGTGGGTGTGTCACAGTGTGAATGGGTAGGTTTTAGGTAGGTCATTATGCACGTGGGTGGTCAAATGGTTTTTCACCAGTCAGCTAGTCAGTCCCAGTCTATCCAGTCAGTTAGTCTTGTTTAGCCTGAACTGGAATAGAAGGAGCCAAGAACTGCTTTTTGACCTTTCGAACTGCCTAAACCAGAATCCACGGTGCATCAGGTGACAATTTGAGTTAGATTCACTTTTTGTTTTGGTCACTTCGAAATCTTGAGTTTTTTTGATTTTTGAATTTGAGTTCTGGGCAAATAGCCACTACAAATATTGAACGATCCACTTGTAATTTTGTGTGTCATAAAGTCAAATGTAAGAGTGAAAATAAACATTTTATTCAATATTTGACACCCGCCATATGTCACTAAAATCAGTCGGTCTTGTAAAGTTTTTAGCAACCATGAGTCACCAGTGACTGGGGCAGCCGACTGTATAATTTACTGGGGCACCATTTTATATAATTCTACATACACTGTACTCAACAGGAGCGGCCCACCTTCAGTGATCAGCCTCCAGCTCTCATCAGTGATAGATGCTTGGATCTTGAGTCATGTTCTCCAGACCCGGGTCTGGGGCCGCTGCCTCCCCTGCTCAATTCTACATATACACGCTTCACAGAATATAAACATTGTTGCATTATAAATCTACCACTCTGCCCATTTATCCCCTCAATTCTCAAAGACCAAAAAGAGGCAGCAGGCTGAAGGAACCGCGTTCCCATTTCCTCCGCGCGTCTTAAGACTTGGCTATGGAAAACATGACAAGCCATTCAGCTGCTAAAGGTGCTTACTCAAGGGAATGCGTGGACTGTTTATTGTTTGATTAATTTGCTCGGGGGAGACCTGAACCCCCCCCCCCACACACACCCCCACACCACACACACAACACCCCACTCATGAATATGTGGGTGACAGCGAGATTTCTCCGCGGTGACAAGTTATCTAAACTACAGAGGCAAAAACGATTATGCTAATATCAGGTTGTAGTCATCAATCACCCCGCGTCAATGCGCTGTCAACGCATCACCGTCCCTCTCCCGCGGAACGCTCCTCTGGCCACGCGAGGTTGTAAAATGTTTGTGGCGCGTGCAAACGGTCGCAGCTGTGGGTGCGTTTGTTTTGGAGAATTGATCACGCGCTTCCCCCCCCACTCCCGATCCGAGTGGATCCGAGCTGTCTGTCCTCCTGGATGGACTTGGCTGGAAGGGAATTAATTGGGCGAGTTTCTTCGTCCCGACGGGCACACCGCGCTGACGTCACGGGGAGACGCGCCTTAAAACCCAAAGAGCAGCGTCGCGTAGCCGGGAGACGGCTGCGTGCTTAGATCACACACACACACGCACGCACACACACGCGTTTTGCACGCGCGCAAACCGAAGTCCGGCGGTTCGTCAGAGAAGCAGGGAGGCTGCAGAAAAAGCCGCGGCAGGCGGAGAGAGAGAGCGAAAGCGGAGAAGTTGCTTCCTGGAGCGCGCGGGGATGACGGCTGCGCGTAAACGTCCGCGCGCCTCGACTCGGATCAGAGCCTTGATGATTTTGTGATCTTAAAAAAAAAAACAACAACCCAAAACAAAACATAAGAGTGTCGGGGAAAGCGAGCTGCAGGTGGTGCGGATGCTCTTGGATCTTGGCCACGTAGTTTTCTTCCACCTTTGCGTTTTTTTTTTTTGTTTTTTTTTCCCCTACTTTGAACCATGGCGTATTCACAGCTGGGATATTCCTACTCCACCACACCGCAGGTGAAGAGCGCTCGTCAAAAAGTTCTTTTGATTTATTAACTTTATTATTAGTTTTTTTTTTCTTTTGTACGTTCATTTGAACCAGTAATGCTTCGTTTGTGTTTCGAGTTGTGCGGTAAATTCCTCCACACTCACTTCACCGGAACTGTTTTTGTTTTGTTTTTGCATCTGTGTTCATTATTTTTTATTTCTTTCTTTATTTATTTCTATTATTGGTCCTTTTTTCTGTTTGTTCTCAAGTTTCACTCATATGGGTTTATTTCACTGGCCAGATTTTCTTTGACTTCATTTTGATTTAAATCAACTTGTTTTGTGTTTTTATCTTGTTTTGTGTTTTTATCTTGTCGTGAGTTTTCAGTTGTGTTTGACTGGTTTCCACTTGAGTTTAATTTCTTGAACAATCAAGCGATAAGACTGCAACATTATTATTTCTGAAGGTTTTAGATTAGTTACTTAGTTATTTAGACATTTTTGTTAGTTTATATAGATATTGAATAATTGTATGTATTTGTTTTATTGTTGTGATTAATGTAAATTTCATCTTAATTTAGTTTTTACTAGTGTCTTGTAGTTTTGATTTCATATATTGATTTGAAATGTGTTCCTTCACATCACTTATTGGTTTGTGATCAAAGGATTCAGTAGTTTATTTTTGACCAGGTGCCTTCAGCTTGACATAATGTCGGTCATGTTTTATCTTTTTTTGACTTTAGTGATTTATTAGCTTTTATATGTGTGCTTAAAAGAAATGTATATTTTAGTGTTGGTTTATGTATTTATTGGTGAATTTGTTTTCATTTTTCAATTACTTGTGTTCTCGGTTCTTACCTGGAAGCTCTCCTCAGAAGTTTTACGTTCAGTTCATTTTGTCGCTTGCTGTTGTGTGGATCTGCAAACCGTCAACGTCACTGAAGACAAATCGACTGCTTACTGGAGGTTTTTATGCCATTATATCGGAACGCTTGAAGTAAATTGCCGACGCTGATTTCTCCATAGTTTCTGATGACCTCTGGTTCTCCCACGTCCCACCCGGTGCTGCGCTCCCCGGGCCACCAGCTTCCTCCTGAAAGCGGCGTCGGGGTCTACGGCGGCGCTTACCCAAAGAGCCAGAGCTACTACAACACATGCGCCAGCGACGCCTCCTCTCTCTATTCCAGGGTGAGTGCCGGGCCTCACTTTTATGCTTTTAGCACCGATCCAAATGGAAACCACTTTGCACAGGCCAGAAAAGAACGTAGGGAAATTGTGTGTCTGATATTTAAACTTTTAACACTTTTAGGGACCACTAGATCCCAAAGAAACGGCACCCGTGCATTTGGGGACGTCGCAGAGCGCCGCCTATTATCCTTATGAGTACACGTTTCGTCAATATCCTTATGACAGATATGGGTAAGTTAACTCGTTCTCTCAGCTGAAAGACGTTGTGATTTTAACCGTTTGATTGTAGTCAATTTCAAGACTTTTTTTTTTCAGTGCTAAATAGAAAGAAAAAAATTCAAAGTTTTTCTTTACAACAATTTTCTCTCTGTTGTCGATGGTTCAGGTATTCCTGCTCGGACAGCTCCTCCCGTCGTAAGAACGCCACCAGGGAGACCACCAGCACCCTGAAGGCCTGGCTGCAGGAGCACCAGAAGAACCCGTACCCCACCAAGGGGGAGAAGATCATGCTGGCCATCATCACCAGGATGACGCTCACACAGGTGATTTCTTTTTTATTTCTTCCCCAGGAATGCTCAACACTTTATGGTTATTGCTTAAACGTGAAACAATGAATGGATGATGTATTTTTTTTTTTTTACAAATAATCTGAAGTCGACGTTCCAGTCCTGGTTTGGTTCCCCCACATTTAGCATTTGTCATATTTGACCAAATCTTTATTTATTTATTTTTCTATAATTTTTTTCCTCCGAAGAGTTTTTGCGGCGCTAGTGGCTCATATTTTCGACAGTAGGCAGACAGGAAAGAGGGCGAGGAGAGGGGAAAGACATGCGGCAAAGGTCGCCGGGACCAGGAGTCAAACCCGTGACAAGGACTGAGGCCTCCAAACGTGGGACGTGCTAACCCCTGTTTCACCACAGCATGCCCCCCGTTTGTCCAAATCTAACGCTAGAAAGAGAACGAGAAAATGCTCCTTTTTCATGTTTACACAAAGAGTTTCTGTTCTCCGTAGAATCAGTAAATCCACGCAGTTTCGATTTAGGCCATGAAAATGGAAAAATGCAGCATTTAATTCGCTAAAGAACAGAATTAGGTGCGGCGCTGATGTTTAGCTTTAAAGTGATGCCCACTTTTATTGTCTTGTAAAATCACTCTCATCTCGTTTTGATGACTTTCTGTTCTCCATTATCCTAAATCTTGTCCTCTAAACAATTTAAAAGGTGAAGGCCACTTCAGCAGGAAATCTTGATATGCCGACAATCAACATAATCGGACAGCTATTTTGAAATCTTGAAAACTCTAGACTACTTGGAAAGGAAAGACTCAATTTAACAGCTTACAATTACTTAACCAGCCAAAGTGGCATGCTGACACAATCAGGACTTTGATAGAGAAATACTGCAGTATGTCACATCTCATAACACCTGTAATGGTAACGCTTCATTCGTTTTTTTCTTTTCTTCTTAGCGCGCTCTGCAATAAATTCAATGGAAGTTTGTGCAATACTATGATTCCAAAGACAGCTCGAAAACAATAGTTTGTGGGCTACATCCTGTATGTACCATTGATTCAAACCCTGCCAATTGGATGGACTTTCCCCAAGACGTTAAAGCTTAAGGAAAAATGGTGGGGAAAGACGACGATAAGACGGAAAATTTGGCAACGAATGTCTTCAACTCAATATTCATTGCTGTGTTAAGTTCTCCAAATATTATGCAGACATTTTCTTCTTTTGGTGGTCTTTCATTAGACTTTCCCTTCATCTGGAACTCATTTTAAGTGTCTCTCTGTGTCCTTCAGGTGTCTACGTGGTTTGCCAACGCACGCAGGCGACTAAAAAAGGAGAACAAGGTGACATGGTCACCGAGAGCTTGCAAAACCTCTGACGAGAGAGGCTGCGATGAGGACAGCAGTGAAGCCGAGAAGCCGGTTAGAAGTAGCGCACACCTTCACGGTAAGAAAGTCCAGAGCCAGTCCCTCATCTTTTGGATGCCATTGGCTATCACAGTCTCACTGCTTCCTGCACTGATTGTCTTTTGCAGATCAACGGTGTGGAGAACTGCAGAGTGACCTTGAAGACTTCGACATGGTGGAGTCGGATGCTTCTGAAAGTGACCCGAAGTCACGTGTTCTACCAGAGAGCGAAGAAGCAAACTCAAACGCAGAACACCCACGTGGCCAAAGACTGTCTGCGGATTGCCCCAAACTAACACCAGTCAACCATCAGAGCAGCTCCTTCTACATGAATCCAAATCTTCAAAGTCCCGACACGAAGCCCAAAATCTGGTCTATCGCGCACACTGCTGTTCCCCCAGAAGCCGGCTCCCCACCAGAATACCCCCCATGCATGCTATCGTCGACCCGGTCCTCCTCCCCCGTGTACTCAACAAACATGGCGCTCAGCAGTGTGGACAGGCAACAAGAGTCTCCAGTGGCAACACTGAGAGAGTGGGTGGACGGAGTGTTCCACGGTCCTCCGTTCCTGCAGCCCAAACCAGCAGAGGCGTGGAAAGACCTCAACGACAGCGGGGCGTCTGTCCAGTCCTTCGAACTCTTGCAGTCTACACCGTGTTTGTAGCCTATGATCATTGTAGCACTGGGATGTACGGACTAAAAACAAAACAAAAACATTTTGCTTTCTATGATGGAACGGAGGTTCTGCACCTCAAACATCAAGTTCTCCAGTACAAGTCTTGGTTCCTTGCAAAAAAAAAAAAAAAACAACATGGGAAGTGTTCTGCCACAATACTGTACGTCATAAAGAGCTTAATGGTAGAAAAATTATTTTAGCTCTAAAGAACAAAAGTCAGTAGACTTTTCCATGTAGCAGTGATGCAACTGCTGTCCTTGTGTCTGTTTTATACTGTCAGGCTGGTATGGTCCTAAAACACTCCTACACTTTCCACCCAGAGAGAAATTCAGAGTTTTGCTTGATAAGAACTGACGATAAAGTATGAATTACATTTGTAGTTTAGATATTACGATGAGATTCTGTGGAGGCTTCATCAGTAAAGTTTCCCTATGTGTTTTCAAAGGATGCCTTTTTACCGGATATCTGAGAAAAAGTGAAGAAATGCTCAGACTGGCCAAAGGCTGATAACTAGTCAAACAGGGGTCTCAGCTCAAGCTGATCTTGTCCATTTGAAACGACTCAAATTCATAAAAAATTCTGCTAGCATATGTTGGGTATCTACACATTTTCGCTCACTCAGCTTGTTTGTATTTAGCCGAATAACATCACTGTTATTAAGCTAAAAGCATGGTGGCCCAGGCTGCTAGGTGTTAGCCACCTTGATCGGTTTGCTATGTTGTCCAAGAACAGAGCAAACGTTTGGACTCCCGACCATCACTTGTGTGAGGTGTGTACGATAATGTAACTTTAACAAAGCTAAAGTTACATGGATTAGCCCTGCTAGTTGTATCGATACGTCAGCTGGGGTCCCATCAGTCTGCTCTGAATCCACCTGGATGGCAGACATTTTTAGAATTTGGTCTGTAGCGTCAAAGATGGTGCATACCAAAAATTGCCCAAGCAACTCACGACTAGGGGAAGGCTAGCAAGCTATTCACACAGACCCCAGTCTTTGGCTTAAATTTCTCAAATCACTAAACTAACTAACACTAACTTCAATGCTAGCTAAGCCATCTTAGCTGCCATTGACTACTTTAAGAATAGAACATTTCTAACAAACATTGCCTGTGTTGCTATGCATGAATATGTTTCCAGAAGCTGCTAGATATCAATCTGCCTGACTGGCTTATCATGAGTCTGGGCCCATCATTTCCAAACTATTAAAAGCAAAGGAGAATACCATCTGCAATATTATTGCATAAATGAAGAGATGACCTTGCAAACCTTAAGTTTGCGGGGTCAGAGTGGCTCGAGTCTAAGGTGGCGAGGCGTATCGATACAGCTGGCGGCGTCTGTTAGCGTGACTAGCGGACGCCACTGCTAGTCACGCTAACAGCGCACAGTACCATGAGCGCTTTTCAGTTTGGAAAAGTTGGTAATGCTTAAAGCTTAGACACACAATGTATCCCAATTTGGGACAATATTTTATCAGTCGGTGATTTCAAATTGGTAACATAATCTAAAATGGCTGGCAGCCAGATCTCAATGTCTGAGATTTGCTTTCACTCATCTCCAAACTTACATGCGGCATCTTTGACCTAAAGCTAAGGGAAATCTTACTGCTGCATTACTTTCACAGAACATTTTCTGTTTTTGAGAAAAGCTCCTCCATAGGAAACGGTGAGTAGCACCCGATCCTGTTTTGAAAACGCAATAATCCTCGGCTCTTTTATAACTCGTCGACTCTAATGTACTTCAGCGATCAAGAGTCACATCCTGTACAGTTTCCACTCACGAAATGAAAAACACACGACTGTACACTTGCACCGCGGCCTGCACATGCACTAAGTCACAAAAATAAACAGTGTATCCTGTGGCATGGCAATGTTTTCGGTGTGTCCTGGCGTTGTAATGGAATCCGTTCAGATGATATAAAGCCTTTTCTGGAGCTGAGGGATGCACCTCTGAATCTTTGGCTGAGTGTGTGTGTGCGCGCCACAGAGTTTGTTTGTGTGTGTTTGGACGGAGTGAAATGGGGCGGTGTGAGAGTGGGAGCACGGGGGGGTAGTGGGTTGGTATTCAGCCGTGACTAATGGAAACACACAGAGGAGGGTGCTGCTAAATTGTTAAATCGATGCCACTTCCACCTCGGCTCCAGATATAGCTGCAATCAGCGATGCGTCTCTTTTCATTAGCCGCTTTTTGACTTTGTCAACCTTGGACAGCAGGAAGATCCTTCCCACGAATAGGAAAATAAAAAGGATCATAAAAGCATCTGGATAAAACCAAGTGTCACACCTTTTTCTGATACGTGATATTCTTTCCACCTTTGCAGGTAACAGGAATTGTTCAAATTCATATGGTTATGCTTAAAGGCCACAAAGTCTTAAGGCTTTTTTCTAAAAACCAACAAATAAAAAAAAATTCTCAACCACTGCATAAAGAAACGCAAAGAACTTGTTTTCCCATCTTTATCCTTTTCCTGCTCCTGTTCTTGTTTTTTTTCTTTCTTATTTAGAAGCGGTAATAAAGTATTTATCAGAACAGAGGAGGGATCTGCCTGGGCTTTGTATGGAATTAACCATTTTAGATTAAATAATTCAGGATGAATTCAACCGAGAATTTCATTCTGTTTCTGCTTCATAAATAAGTAAGGCTTGAGATGATAAATAATGGCATCTGTCTTCTTATTTCGATAAAACTTCTCTTTCTTCTGCGATCATCCTGACAGGACCTTCGCCATGGCTGGCTGCTAATTTATCTTTTATGGTTACGCCGAATTTCTTTTTTCACTTTGTCTAAATTTAACAGGCCAGGAACAACACAGTTTTGTTCCCTGTCTTGGAATCGAGACGGATTCGAAGCGGCGTGAGGAAATCCGGTATCGGAGTCAGGAGATGTAAACTTGTTCTCACCTTTTGCTGTTTGGATGATGCATTTTTTAAAATTATTATTTGTCCCGAAAAGAGGGAAACAAACCACCAGTTTTAGATTTTTAAAATGGTAGAGAATGAAATAAATCTTGATCATAATAATAAAAAACTCATTTTCTGATTTTGCCAAACTGACCACACTGTACAACAACAGATTTTAAGCAGTTTACGGGACAGGAGTCCTGCATTCGGGGTACAAAATAATCATCATCATTTGCTGAAACGCATCACGGGTCGAGGGCATTACGAGAGGGAACAGAACTGCTGAGTAAACAGTCTTCACCTACTTCAAAGAATCGGTGATGGTCGATTTACTGCAGAGTGTATTTGGAAAGTTTCCACAAGATGAGTTACCAAGACACTTTGCGACAGTAAAGAAATAACTGATCAACCACAAATTTCTTGCTGTTTTTGCCCCCTCAAAATATTTTTTTGACACCGTTGATCATGATGGCTGAACAGAAACAAAACTGAAGTTATCATCTTTGGACCCAAAGAGTAACAAAATAAAGTCAAAATAGTTTCTGCAAGCAGCTTCAGCAGAAACTGTTTGATCAGTCCCTGAATCCAGACGGACTAAGACGTTTAGAGTCACATTAAGACGGTTGCAAAGTCGGTCTTCTGCCACCCAAAGAACACTTCCAGGGTTAGACGACTAATGTCTCCACAAAATCTAGAGAAACTCACTCATGCATTCGTCTTTAGTGGTATCCATTACCGCAATAGTTTTGTCACAGGTCTGCCTAAAGAAAATTCAATCTGTCCTTCCTTGTTGCTGAAATGTGCTATACAAGTAAACTTGACTCAACGTTCAAGTGAAACAGGATGGATAAACTGATGGCCATCCAGGACAGTTCAGGCCACGTTAGACCCAAAAGATAATTGGAAAGAGGTTTATATCTAAATAACTCAACTGGACTGGTGTCCTGTTAGCTGTGTATTTTTTTTTTGTCTATGCTTTGAAAAGATTCTGATGGAATGTCTTAAAACAAAATTCTGACAACTTCAAATTACTCCCCTTTGCACCTTCGGTCTGACACCTATTTCCTTTCAACACCATCTGAGCCTCTGTTGCAAATCCAAACACGCAAACACACCCACTGGCATATATACACTCACAGTTCCAAGTCTCTGGTGTCGTGTCACACACACTTTGTTTTTTTTTTGTTGTTGTTTTTTTCTTCCGGGGCTATCAAAGCGCTGAGTGCAAACTCTGTCCTCCAAATAGCGCCTCGTGTCGCCAGAGGTGTCTCGCTCCCCACAGTAACCCCCTGAGCTCTTGGCACAAGAACAAGTCATTATTTTCATGGTAAAGGTCAGAGGCTCTGTCACCTGACCAAAAGCCGAGCCGAGTGGAGTCGCCTCGAGACAATGACCAAAGGTCAGCTTTCTGATTTCCCTCTCTCGCAGCGAGCGTGGACCTGAGGAGGACTGGGCTGCTCCCAGATCTGCCCGTGAGCCCCCTTTCGGGTCAGGTTGGCTTCCGGACGTGGAGCCTCAGATAATTGGAGTTGTGGAGCTCCATAATGAGCCTGGGGCTCTGTAATGTGACACATCTTAAAGTAGAAATATTTTAATAGGGCAATTACAGAGAAGAGGAGGATGTTTTTGTGTGGAGTGAGTGATTGTTGCGCGCGGGACTTTGTATTAAGGAACTCCCTGGCATTTAACTCCATTATCTATTGCTCTGCGTTGGGGACATTTCTAATGTGATTAGTCTCATTTGGGCGTATCTTTTTTTGATGCTTCTGACCCGGCAGTGCGGGTCAAACAACAGCCAAAGCTGTATTTGCAATTACCCTCTGATATTCTGCAGAGGGACAGAGGAGTGCTGGATGTCGTGGTAGACCCTGCGCTGATTAAACCACTCTGAAACGAAAACCCTTCAATGAGTCCGACCGCAAATTGGTCGAATGTACAATTATAACCTGGACTTACTTGACACATACACTGTTGGGGAATACGATGATATACTGGGTGATGAGTCTACAGCGTTCCTACATTCCCAATGCCCAAATTCCAAACGTTTCCAGCATTGAATTAGCCAAATTCCCAGCACATTTTAAGTCCGCTTTGACCAAATATACCCACAAAAGTTTGGAAAAAAATTAACGCTTGACATTTCAATACAAAAGTGGTAAATTGGATGGATAAAAACCAATGAATGAATGGCAGTGGAATGGACAGGTGGAGCATAGACAAATTCATCAAATAAGTGGATGGACAACGGACACACTGATGAATGATTAACTAATGCACAAATGGACAGACAGATGGACAACGAAACTGAAAGATGGACGGTAGAAAAACCAATGGATAAATAGTGGACTGAAGGACAAATGGGTGGATGAGGAATAGATACCAATAATGAATGGAAAATAGGTGAAAGTTTGATGAGAGTTATACAAACAGATAGGAGGATGGAAAGACATGCTTGGGTGGTTGATGGGCAAAGAAAGTGATAATCGATGGTTGAAAAACAGATGAATGGACAGACAAATGGACTGGTAGACAATCATATAGGTGGATGATGGACACTCTGATGAATGAATAACAGACCAAATGACAAACGGAAAAATGGGTGGACGAATGATGATGGGTGGGAAAAAAGAGATAACGGAATAGGCCGATGAATGGATGAATATTGGAAAAATCTACAGATGGGGAGATATGGATAGGCAGGTAGATGTACAGACAGACAAATGAGTGGATAGAAAATGGGACGGATGAATAGACAAAGTCCAGAGATACAAATACTCCTTAAACGCCTGAAAATACTTCAATGAATCCAGATTTTTCCAGGGTAACAGAAAGCATGTTTAATACCAGTGAATAATTTAGAGGTGCAGCAAAACGTAGCACTACTCTGTCATTCACTCATTTCATATCCTCATATCCAAATTTTGCTGTCTCCAACTCAACCGGCCATCACCTCCGAACCGACCAGACGCACTGACCGCCAGACCAAGAAGTTGTCTCCCTGACACCGACCCGGCTCACATGCCCCGGTTTAACAATGCACCCCACTCGCTACCCCTTCAATCATCTACTGTGGTCTGACTGGAGATGAGGTTAACTACAGCATCGGGCGTACTTCCAGGAGCCACCAGGTCCAATTATATCAGCCTGACAACTCCCGCCCCACCCAACCTGAGCCCTGTGGAGTGGAAAAATGCAGTTCCACTGGCTGCATCGCCAGGGACCGAACACGCCAACGGTGTCTGGAGCCTGAGCCGAGCACGGGCCAATTTGGCATGCAGGGGTCTATGGAGAATAAGACCTGATGAAATATATATATGATCTTCTTCCAACATGTATTGTTCCGCTCTGCTGTGTCTCAGCAGGAAGGGCCCGGAGTTTTCCAGGCAGATCGTCGAGAGGAGCTGCATTATGGAGCTAAAATCCCCTCTGCAGGCACGAGCCTAATCTTTCATAGACAAGATTAATTCAAGATTCTGAAAGTCCTGCAAATGTTGTGAAAGCAATGTAGCTTAATGTATGTTGTTCTTTTATTTCATACCTAGTCTTAAAAAAAGAAGAAGAAAAAAACAACAACAAAAAAAGCTAGTTTCACTGAAAAGCAATTCAATATTTGGACAGTCAGCTGAAGCACATATGCAGCACAGCACTGACCTCTGTTGGTCAAATGCTAGAACTGCATTAAACAAAATCCAGGAATCCAGTAAAATTCAACCTCTATTTTTAAACGTAAGTATTACATTCATGTGTTTCCCCCTCATTAAAGAAAAGCTTTAAAAAAATTAAAAAAATGCTCTCCCAGTTAGACAACATAATTTATTTTATACAGAGAAGCAAATACAGAGCTGGTGCTTCAGTGATGATGCTTCTGCTTGAACTGCAGTCCACAGTAGCCACACGTCCCCACCTTTGTGTCCTTATCCTGAGTGGAAACAACAAGACGCTTGTATTAGTGGAAACACTTTGTAGGCCATATACATTTACAGTGCCATATACGACAATCTTTGCAGATATTTTTTCCCCCCAGACTCGAACAGATTACAAAAACAAACTTCAAAAGATTTCGCCAGGGTATCAACTACGAGAAACTAGGACACGTCGATACCGGGAAAACACGTCATTGCAACACGGCATTCTGAAAATTCCAACAGTTGTGTTGATTATGATTATTGATCAACATTATTGACATTTTTCTTTCTTCACAATGACACAATGTCGCCATTTCGGACATTAAATATAAGCGTCAGTGGTGGGCATTATACAGGTAGCTGGAAGCCATCCAGCTGGCCATAAATCCATTAATGTCTGGACCAGGGCCGGACGATAAATTGATTTTATCAATAGCTGAAATTTTTGTTTTTGAACATTAAATTTTTTGGGAAAATCAAGATCTTTTTTTTAACCGATGCACTCCTTGGGTTTCCATAGTTCAGAATGATGCCAACACGCTCAGGGCCTCCTGTTTTGTTTGACGAGCTACTTTCACAACTTCTGTTTATTTCGTCTTTGAATGCCAGTCAATTTTACAATGTAACGGAACAGGCTAAAGATTTTTTCTCTTCTCGTTACAAGAATAGAGTTAGAACATCATAAGAATGCGGTCACAGTAATACGAGAATAAAGTCAGATGACAATAAAGTCACAATAGCATGAGAAAAAAGTTGTGATATTAGGAAGAATGAAGTAGTAACTTCATGAGAACTCCAACAAAGGAAAAAAAAACCTAAATCATCCAACCTTCTTGTCTAATTCGAATGAACTTTTTTCTCATAATTTTAAGACTTTCTTCTACATAATTTATGTCTTTATTCCATCAATATCATGACTATATCCTCGTAATTCAAAAAAACTCCTGGAGCGCAACTCACAGAAGGGACGACTGAAATAAAAGGCATTAATTGAGTCATATCACCCGACCCTCGTGTGCAAAGTATAAAAATGCTTCTGCAGCACTTGGATCTTAGCTTTATGTAAGAAAATAATACGTGACAATATGGAGGGCAGTTGCACAGGCAAAAAAGTGGATCGTTCCTTTACTGCAATTTTGGGCGGTTTGCTCCTTAGAATTCACCTTTTCTTTGGTGGGAAAGATATTCCTTATACTTATTCCACACAATTTTCATTATATTACCAATGACATACATACAAGTCTTACCAAATTGATGTAGACTTTGGGATGTCCCAGTGCTCCTCCACCTCCATCACAAGACACCACTCTGGCCTCCAAGTGCGTCACTGGCTCTTCTGCCACAAGGTTGATGGCAAAATTCTTGTTCACCTTAACACACAAGCAAATAGAAGAAAACGCTACGAATCTTCAAATAAAGCCGCCAACATAGGTTTTAACTGCCCAGAAGCAACATTGTACTAAAATGTAGTTTTTACGATTAGAAGTAGTCATTAAACAAAACATGAGAAGAGACATTAGCAGCAGTGCAAACAAGTTATATTGAAAGGTAGCTGAAAGCAAATATTTATGTCGGTTTTCCATCAAGATTGTGTTCTTTTGTAAACGCATATTCACGTGGCAACCAAAAATGACAACAAATTTGCCTTTTAACCAGTTAGAAATAAAAGGCAACAAATGAATAGAAATATTCAATGAAACATTTCTGGTATTCTTTACTTTGTATTTTATTGCCATGTATATATATAAATAAGTTAAAACACTTCACAGCAGCCATGACAAGATATATGTATGCATATGATTCAATGGAATCATAAAATTACAAACTTTTCTGACTGGACCTCAGCCAAGTTATTTTAATAAAAAATAATAATAATCCTGTTTGGGCTCGTCCATGTTTAAGGTCTTGTCCATTTATGTATTTAAATTTCATATCCCTGTTTTAGATCTAATCCCATGTGTATTTCAACATGTCCATTCATGTGTCTGGTGCATCTCCTTCGGTTCATTCATCTGATAGTTTGTTGTGGCTTGCTGCACTGACTACTTCTTACCTCTTTCTGTCTTCCGACAAACCGAGCTCTTCTTGGGTCTTTTTCATCAAACACCTTAAAGGAAACCACATTCCAGTCAGCCTCTACATTGATTTCATCACATCATCCATATCACATGCTTGCAAATTGAGATGAAGTTAGATGTTAGTGTTAAATGATAGATAAGATGTTAGTGTTTAATGAACGTCGAGCTAAATAAGAAGCGCATAGTGCGTAGTGAAGGTGGCGTCCGATAATGGAGCTACAGCAACATCTGAACTTGGCTAAGGTGAGCTAACAGAGGGCCTACGTTTAAGCACTAAAAGCGGGGGACGTTTTGGACCTACCTGTCCGGTGTGAGTGATAGGCTCGTCGGTACTTGAAACCGCCACGCTGTATCGGTGGACGGGTACAGCAGTCAGCCTCACTGGTTGAACGAACCCCTTCGCCTTCCTAGTGAAGGACAGGACTTTGCACACAGTGGCCGCCATGTTTACAACAGTCAGGCTCCTGGGGTTGGGCAGGAGACGTTGAAATATTTTCCCGGGGTACTGCCTGTAAGGTACAAGAGGCTACAAATACATTTCACCTAAATTCGTACGTTTAAAACACTACATTTGTAGAATAAGAAATAAAAAGTATTATTTTAGAGCGTCATAAACGTACCGTTTTTAGTTTGTTATTTTAAGTCATGCAATTAAACAACCTTAAAGATCAGACTGGGGGAAACAATAGTCGCTAACACTTAACCCGGAACCGTTTCACTGAGACACAAACTCAAGAGTAGCATTGTGGTCTTGTTTCGACGTTTCAAAGGCAAATATCGGGGGTATAACACATGCTCTGAATCTACTCGAAATTATCAGGTGCAGTGTTTTCATTTTTGACTTCATAAACGAATAGCGTAATGTGCGGATTTATGTTCAAGCCTTATTTATCCAAAGTCTGAGCCGTCTGGTTTGTATCGCGTAGCTGTTTATACACGTTTTACAAGTACTCAACACATAGTTATATTAAGTGGAATTAATTTACATATGGTTGTGTTTTATGTTTAACCCTTTAATGCTGTGTTGAATAGTTACTGCCACCGTTTGTGGTGGAAGTAACTATTCCACCGACACTATTAGTGTCTCTATCTGTTACCAATGTCTGTTGTCAGACACTAACGTGTATTTTATTAAATTGAATGGCTTTGACAAACACAAAGTAGCGCATAATTATCGCGTGGAAGAAAAAGAACCTCAGCATCCCATGGACTAATGCTGCCACCACTGTGTTTTCCCATGAGTTTGGCGTGCACACGATATTGTTGCCGTTGGCGATGCAGTTTGTTGTCTAACGGAACAGCTACACATGCAATTCTGGAATGAAATTAGCTGTCAGAATAAAATGTGTTGAATCCAATGAGTGCATCGGTCTGTCGCACAAAACTCCTTCAAAGTACATTGAAGTAGACTAAACGTTGAAAAATTCAAGGTGTAAAACGTCCGTATTTTATAGATGAACTGTACTCGGCTAAACCGCTTTTCACCTCTAATTTTCCTCATGAATCTCTCTGCAGCCTTCGTCACCATGGGTCCCCTCTTGCTGAAGCACCTGGCTGCCTCGCTGAGTCGACAGGTTCTCCAGATGAGCCGTTTGAATCCCACCGTCTCCACGACAGCGGCAAGCGTGTGCAGGTGCCTGTGGACGGCCACGGCCGCCCAGCGCTCGATGTTCCTGCTGACGCCTCTTCTGTCGTCTGTCCTCCCGGTCCAGGGCGCGGCGTCCCTGCTGCGTCTCCCCGGGGCCCATCCCTCTGCGGGGATGAAGACCAAGTCGGCCCTGAAAAAGCGCTGCAAAGACTGCTTCTTTGTCCGAAGGCGGGGACGCTTGTTTGTGTTCTGCAAGACGAACCCGAGACACAAGCAGAGGCAGGTCTGAACTGTTGAGAGCGTGCTGAGAAATGTACAAAGGATTTACTGAATCACTGCGGTCATAATAAATTGTCATGATATTGTCATTAGGATTTATGTGGCGTCTTTTAATAAGCATCAGAGGAGTCGAAGATATTCACATTTTTTACGTAAACATAAGTAACCTTTGCAGAGGAAAACAAGTCAAGCACTTATTATGCAGAAAATATGAAGATTCTCTGTCAGGAACTTATTTTTCAATTTACAGTATGTTTCAGATTTGGAAGTCTTTAAATGCGCTTTGAGAATCTATTTACCCTTTCAGACATTTATTTCCCCCCCACACACACAAACTTCAGTGTTTCACTTTTGAACACTTTTGTGACTTCATAAAGCACTTTTTAAAGTTTTTTTTTTCAGTCATGAGAAGGGAGAGAAGCACTAGCTGACTGTCAGCGCTAATACTCGCCTCCTGGCTCTGATTGGTTGTTTCCAGTTAGCGCTGAGAAAAGGTAGAGGAGCTCCAGTTATTCAGATTATCTGTTTCATATGGTGTCACAAAATAGCAACAGTTTCTATATATAGAACCTATATATAGTTTGATACACTGCAAATATCAGTGTATCAAAAATAGCAAAAGCAGAAGAAATGTGTAAGAGACAAAATTTTTTTACATGGGTTTATGTCATTGTTAATCCACAAGGGGGTGCCAAAGTCGCTTTCATAGCAACCCAGGACAAAAGTGAAGAAAAAAACTGTCTTTCTTTTACTCCCTTTCCTCTTGAATAGATTTTCTTTTGTTATAATAATGTAATAAGTCATTTGTTTATTCTGAAATATTGTAGCTACACCCCCCTGCCAGTTGGTGTACACAGAATGGCATTAAACCTTCCTCAGGTGCCAGCAGCAAGGTTGAGCTAACCCAGCTGGCTACAATATGTTTGGTGACAAGAAGAGTACACATGGCTCTGCTTGAATGAGTTTCCAAAAGGTTACTATTTGCTGATGGAGGAACACAGAACAATGAAACAGTCGCATGAATAGCATTACATACGAACACACAGCAGTAGCTCCCTTTTAGAGACCATTTTACGAGGGAACTTACAACCCTTTGAATGATGAAAAAGCATTCAAATTTCCCGTGGGATGCTAATTAACAGCCTTGCAAGTTGAGGATGTCTTTTTATTTTTTTTAACAGGCTGGTTTGACTCCACCTGTAAATACTGACTGATCCCAACTTTTGATGTGGAGCCGATGACCCGGTCTGCTGAGGATTTCATTGCAGATAGCAGCCATCTGTGGCTTTGAGGCTCAAACAAAGTCTGTTTACATGGACAGTTGCTGTCTTGTAGAAAATAAAAGAGAGCTGAAATTAGTGGGTGGATCAAATATGGAATAAACAAAGCGTCAGATAAATCTACTTCAATGAGGGCCAATCACCTGGAAACATCTACAGTGCGCATCCTCAGCTTGCTCGTGAGGCAGACTATCTGGTTGGCTTGAAAAGCCACTTTCCCACAACAGCAGACATGTTGTTTTAGAGCGTGCAAGTGTGCGGCTGTTTATGCAGGTGTCATGTGATGCAGGCTTTTATACTCTACCTGTCTAATGTTTCAGTGTCGCTTTTTACTTTTAATTATTTGAAAAGCGAGACAAGATACAAATTTGGGGTGTGGTACAATGGGTGTACTCTGTCCCTCTTGTTGAAGGGACAGTGTTATGGAAAGATGGAAAGCTTTTTTGAGCTTTCCATCATGTTATGAAGTTTTTCCCTCATCAGAAACATACCTGGAAATCCTTGAGTCTCCTGTGGCAACCATTAGGGTTAGTCAAATGCTTGCTCTTTCCAACTAGCAGCATCGTCAGTACACAACAACTTGGACTTTGCAATAAGTGCCACTCAAACATGCAAAAGTTCTCCAAAGCCTTGTGACCTAAGATTCGTTGGACATGTGTTGTCCACTGTCCTCGTCACGTAAATCCAGAGACTTTGTTAGATTTTGTTTTGGGTTCTGGCTCGGACGGTTCCAAAACTTCTGTTGATTTAGTTGTATGATTGTCCTGACAATCACACAATTAACAGCACACACCACGCCAGGTGTGTGCTGTTGGCGATGGGTGGTGGTGTTCCAATCCCAAACAGATTTTTTTGGGGAAAAAGTGGCTTCCAATTTCAAGTTTGGCTTTATGAAATGTTACCACATTCTTCCAAAAGGTTTTGGGAGATTTTGTCCAGACCTTGATGTTGCTTTTGGAAGAAAAGACTGTTGCCTTGTAACTTGACTCCTACGTCCAAATAGGGCGAATACCAGAAATTATTGTCGCGTGTAACACAACACCAGCTCTGGAAAATTCCTGCAGTTCATTCAGTGTTGCTGCGCGGCTTATTTGTTGCCTCAATGGTGATTTTCTGTTTTATTTTTTAAATCAGTTTTGACAAAACCTCCTCTTGTTCTGATGGGCTTGATTCATATTTTTTCCTCCAGCTATTAATTGGTCTCTACACTGCTCAGTGAACATAAAAATAGCTCTATGTTATAGCTAATAATAAACAAGCCCCAATGTATATCTCCTCTGAAATGTAGCAATTTCAGAGGTGAAATTGCTAAATATGTTTCCAACAGATAAACGTTAAGTGTTAATCTTGGCTCCAACGGTTTCTGAAAGGAGATCTACCAGTTTCCGCGTCTTCTCCCGTGAAACCAAATCCCAGGCAGACACACCGACTGTTTTTAACTCGAAGCTTCAAAACCCTCCTGTGTATCTCTGTCGTTGTGTTGCTGTCACCTCAGACCGCTAGAGGACACATTGACTTTTCCTCAGCTTGCTTCTTTCTCCTACTACTCTCCAGTAGTAGACTGTTTGTCATCCTATTGATTTTAAGACGGGCTGGGAATTTGTCTGCAGCCGAACCAGTTCTATTTGTACATTTATCTTTTTTCTTTTGGTTCTTTTTTTGGTGAAGTTCTATGTTGTAAACATCTGTGGTGAACTGCCATTATATGAGGGGTTTGCAACCTGCGGCCACCTTAATGACGCTTAGTAAATTTGTTCATTAAAACATAATGAACAATTATAAACAAACTAAACTGAGTTAACATGAAATTGCATTTTTTTTAAAGCAGGAAAGTAATAATTGCTGATGAACATCACTATTCATATCAATCCAATTCGTCATATAATGAAGGATCATTAGTAAACGCTTTGCAAAGTTGAAGTCTGTTAAAACATTAAACATTAAGTTCTATTGGTTGAAGATTATAGCAGGTTCACGTGTTTACTTTAATTATTAAGCCAGTTCTGTTTCTGGAGAAACAGACTGCATCTTATCTCTTGTCAGGAGCTCGAAAACATGATGCATGTTCCCACGCTCGAGGCAAATACGGAAATCAGATCAAAAAGCTTTCCACCCAGAGGGAAAACCGTAATCCGTCAAAATTCAACTCTGACAGCAAGCTGACACGGTGAGTTGAGACCCAACACCGGCCTGAACGACTGTCGATGTCAGCTTGAGACGCATTTAAACTTTTCCAAATGGAAACCGACTGAAGAGAAAATGTAAAAAAATAATAATTAAAGGGACCATAAAAAAAAACAGCAACAAAAAAAAAAAAAAAACACGATTAGCTCCAGCAGGTGGATGATAAACATAAAAGAGATAAAAACTAGCAAAAGCAAATGTTGTAATCTGGAAATGACTAAACGTACGTGTGTGTGCCTTAACAGTGTATTTAATCATTCAGTGTGAGCAACAACAAAAAAAGTAAAAAAAAAAAAAAAAAATTCTCCAGCACTTTCTGACATTATGCTACTTAGGAATGATTAATTATTAATCCACACAATCAGAATTTTAAGACTATTCTTCCGAGTGAGAAGATTAAGAGCAGAGCAGTAAGTGCATCTGGGTCATGTAATTTTAATGCCATCTGTAAGTTGTTCATAGACTGTTTTTATTTTGAATATGGTCTTTTCTTGTTACTTTCAAAATAAAAGCAGACTGATATTTGCAGACAATTGAAAATTATTGTAGCCTATTGCTGTCTTTGTCGCACAAATACACGCATCTTGAACTTAAAAAAAAAAAAAAAACTACTGAATTACACATTTTGATTTGAGTATACTATTTTTGATAGCGGTAAAGTTTTATTTTTTCCCTTTGCTGTAAATTTGCCCTTACAGTCGGGTCCTCTACCAGAGGCCTGGGAGCTTGAGGGTCCTGCAGTATCTTGGCTGTGCCAAGGACTGCACATTTCTGGACTGAGATGTCTGATGTTGTTCCTGGGATCTGTTGTAGCCACTGCTCCAGTTTGGGGGTTACTGCCCCGAGGGCCCCAATGACCACAGGTCCCAATATCTTTTTTTTTTTTTTACCTCAGTCTGAATATACCTGAATTTCCCCACTGTCATTTCTGACAAACATTGCTATTAATATTATATTGAATTATCTGTACAGTTTAGCCTGGTGTGGATGTTTCTCTTGTATAAACAAAAAGAAAAAACTTGCAGCTCCTCATATTATATTCAGAACAATTCTTTTTAACCGCCACTGATAGTGATTTAGAAAAAAAAATTCCCGCCAGAGCATACGAAGCAAACCCGATGCTTTTATTTTGGATGAAGTCAAACCGGAAGCGCGGGTAACACCGCCCAACTTGCTAGCGGCGGACTGAGTCCTCCCCGCTCTCCGCTCACTCAGCATCAGTTTCGGCCGAGGCAGGCGGGGTGACGCTCTCCGCAGCGTTTCGAGACATTCAGGTCCAAAGTTTCCTTTCAAATATATCCATATATAAATTTATATATATTTTTTCCATACCGCGTAACAATGAAGACTCCCAGCAGTCCGCGTGCGGGAACTGACAGAAACCCGTTTCTCCACGAGCCGAAGTTTTCCACGACAGACAAAATAAAGGTGAGACGTTTTTTTTTGTGTTTGTTTTTTTATCAAAATGTCAGCTTTTGTTCCTCTGCAGTTGGAATTATTAAAGCGTTGCGGGTCTTGTGTGTCAGTATGAGGCGACAGACACTTTGCGAGCAGTTTTTGTGTCTCTGCGGGAATAAAATATGATGACCAACATGGAGCCTTGGTGGAAGAGGAGTGCTGTATCCTTCTAGAAAATGACTTTCCTCTGGTTTCTGACAGCTGGACTGGCTGAAAGTCGTCAGCCAATAACGGCTTTTATTGCGGAATTAAAATACGTTCAATGCACTTTCAAAACGTCTGACCCTCTCAGCACTCTTAATTTGTGCTAAACAAGCACTTAAATAGTGCTAGAAACAATCCGTGGAAAAGGTTCGATGTGAAAATTACCCCATTTTACAGTCAGTTTTGAGATACTTTCCACAAGATGCTTGAGAAAGTTCCAGAGCGAATCGGAAAATACAGCGCTTCAACTGGACCTGTTGTTGATCACGGTCAAAATTAATTCAATTACCAACAAGATCCATTAAAACAGAATCTATATTCACAAACTGGTATAAAGTAAAATTGAAATTTAATGTTATATTCGTTATAGTCCAAATAGTGTTTTTTTTTAAAGCTTGATTTACTCTGTAGGGGTGAGCATTTAGCGTTATTGTGAAAAATAAATCTTATGAGAATTTGGATAATGCCAAAAATAGACTCCAGTTAATTTTAACGACAACAAAAACAACCCAAAAATGGCTGCATTGTTAGTTGTACAGTTTTTACAATGTTCTCAACTGTTGGTTCCACTAAAGCGTCTATTAGTATGAGCGGTGCACAGATGGCAGGTTTTTTGGCCGATCACCGGTCATTGAAGAGCCCAACCTGTCAAGTCCAATTTACCAAATATACATTTTTTCCCCCTGACATCAAATACCACAAAATCTTAACCTCATATCACCCATCCCTTTTATTCAGTGCATAAAGACGTATAGCTCTATCAATCATATTCATATTAGGAACCCCTACGTTGATGCACAGTTTTTAAGTTCAATGAAGTAAACAAGGTCTGCAGCTTCGTGTGATGATGGAGCTGAGCTTGTAATTCAAAGCTGCTACCACCATCAAGTCAAGCACAGCTCACTAGTTTCTCCTTTATGCGATTCGGTCCTTGGGGTAAATTGGAAAAAATTAATCTTGAATTGCTCCAAAATAGAGTCAACATCTCATCGCTAAAGAAAATTAGTGTGAACCACGAAAATCCTAATCAGTGAATTAAAGCTCACAAACTGCTCAAAGAAAACAGTCTTAGTTTGGCAAGTCTAAGCGTTACAGCCTGAAGGGGAAAAAAAGTGAACTAGCTTTTACTACTCTGCTGAATCATGCTCATGATTGACGATAAATCCAGATAGTATAATCTACTTTCCTGTACTTTGAGGTAAATCTTTTTTCCGCAAGTGCCCAAAATTGAGGAAACCTTTTTATGGAAAAGGTTGGGAGGAAAAACAACCCTACAATTTGAGTATGGAAAAGTGAAAAATGCATTGCTATTACCTGAATCCACTGTTAACCAGCTGATACCTCTGCTGCTTCACTATTAGCTTCTTTTTATGGTCTGAAATCAGTAATTGGTCAGTCATAATCTAACTGCCAGAGGTTTATCTGAAACCTGTGGTTTCACCGGGACCCCAGCTGCCACTCGCTTCCTGGATGAAGGTAAAGCCATAGTTTAACATCAGTTTACCATATTTGCATTTGATTTTAACTGAGCACCTGCTGAAAATATCCACAGATTGACACTCTTAGCTTTATTAGGCTGACTTTTATCATCTCCTGAGTAATTCTCGTAGAATATAGCAGAATATCCAACTATTTATGTATAGAAAGACACTGGGGATACATCTTCTGTCTTACTTGATTCTCTCTGTTAAATGTTTCAATATGATTTTCAAGAGAATAATAGAAAGGCTGTTTAGGAAAGAATCTGAAGCTTGTACATTTAGATATTGTTCCTGAAAACATTTAAATGTCTGTATTTCATAATTTTTCTTCAAAGAAGTCCTCATACGACAAAGATCGTCCTCCTGGTTTCCCGATCCGCTGAACTCACATCATTTATGTGTGTTCAGTTAACGAGGAACTGCATCAACTTCCATGCAAATATAAATAAAACACTTTTTCACAGTTCAGTTCCTTTTACAGGGAGAAATAAAGTTCTGCTTCAAGCTTAGAGAAGTTCATTTTCCCTCTGAGTGGAATGTGTAAATGTTCAGCAAGTTGGGTGTAACTCTGGCAAAAACCGATCCTTTAAAAGTTGACCGTTAAAGGATTGTATAATTATAGGGCTGTATAATTATACCGATTCTACGATATTTATCGATCTTTTTTTCCACCCTTGAAAGATATAAATTTTTCATCCGCGAGTATCGACACCTTAAACCGTCGGGGTCCATGAGCTTATACAGTCTTTTGAACATGTCTGGTATGTGAAGGCGTAGCAGCAAGACTCCGCCTCCCACGTTCAACTTGTGCTTAAAGTGCACATTATAAACTACACACTATTTTATTCTAGGAAACGAAGTAAAGTTGCGTAAGTAACCGTGAACGAGAAGCGGAATGGAGGAGTGGCAAAAGTAGTGAGAATAAAGGAAGATCGCGAAATTAATGCAAAGGTTGCATATCAGAGCAACTAGTGGCATCCACTTCGTAATTAGTTTTTAGCTTCGTGGTTTCTGTTCTGTATGTAAAGGATTATCTGAAGAATGAACTCGCAGCATGCAGTGGTTCTGTTTCGAGCTGGAAAACGAAGGGGGGAAACCTGCAGCCGGAATCCGCATCAGGTATTGCAGTGATGACGATGGCGGATCAATCATTCATATTAGTAACTGACAGAGTATCAGAGACTGAGAGTACGATAGTTTGAGAGGCAACTACTCAGAGATCCAAGCAGGGGAATGGCAGCGCTGCGCAGCTGCAAGGAGTGAATCACTAAGGGGTGAGGCACTACAGGGTGAAATTATGAGACATTTTTGTTCGAGCTGCGTCTTTAAAATGATGTTCAAAGTAGCAGGCATACAAAATAAAAGCACGGCTTTCAGGCACGGCTAACTCTGGAAGCCAAGGAAGAAAAGCCTTTTCCCTAGAATCCAAATTACCTTTTTTTTTTTTATTCCAAAATGCAGTCACAGTTTGTCCATAAGAAAAACATAAGTGCCATTATTTACATATTGAGAGAGGCTGACAATCTCCTCACTCAGCGCCTGGATCACTGTTGAAACGGTGAGTTTTATGTCAAATCCACATGAATTAAGTGACATAAACTAATTTTCTCACTGGATCTTTGATTTATGTTGTCCAGCTGCAGATTGTTAGACTCTGTCCAAACAGAGTCAGGTATTGTGTAGTTGGTGCTTTTTCAGTTACCGTAATTACATCCAAGTCTATGGAACACAAAATGTCACTAAAACCACTCTGTCCTAAAAATCTTTAAGAAAATCGTAAAAGCGCATCAAATCGTATCATTTGACAAATATTGTGATACATATCGTATCGTGATCAGAATATCGCATTGTGAGATAATTGTAGCGCTACTCCCCTAGCTCTGCTGAGTTGAGCAGAAAAACCCTACTGCAGGCTTTGGCCACTTCCCCTCAACTTGCAGGATGCTTTTGCCAGGAATGGGTTGTTTTTTCCGTTCAGGCCGGGAGGAGATGATTGCTAACAGTTGACAGCAGCAGCTCAGTCATCACGTGTCTGCTTCACACCTCCTGCCACCGGCTTTCCAAAGCCGTTTTTCCACTTGGCCACACGTGTGGAGTTGCATGTAAACACGCCTACACGCCAAAAACAAACAAGATGGTGAGGATAAGTAGAAGAAGCTAAACTTTTCCTCTTATTGTTTACATCTGTTTTCATCTTTGAAGAGATTACAGTACGAGTTCAGCCCTGTAGTTTGACCTTTTAAATGAAAGTGTTTTTAATTTTACCAGCTTGTTCCTTCTGACTGCAGAGACTCGAAAGAGAACCGGTGCAGGCTGATTAGGGTGATGGCAGGGAGGCCTTCCAACCTCAGAGACCTGGAGCTTATTATCAAATATAAATAAAAAAAATCCAAGAAAAAAAAAATCGAATTCAACATGGCTTTTAATATAAATAGAAAAATATAAACAGTTTTTCTAAATTTAAACTCATTTTATGCCTGTCATCAAAACAAACTGGTTGAATAAAAATAATTTAAAATCTAAATTTTCTCGTTGTATTAATAACTTGAGGCTTCACTGTATATTTCTCTAGAGTCAAAGCTCTTTGACTCACATACAGAACCCCATGTGGTGGCAGCATCATGCTAGGGTGAAAAAGAGGAATGTAGGCATTTTTTAAATTTCTACAATGGCCTAGTTCAAGTCCAGGCCTAAATCAAAATGAGTCAAGCGGGAAAATTTATGTTTACAGATGCATTTGATGTAATCTGAGCCAGCTTGAGTTATCCGATGAAGAATAGGCTGAAGACAGGACCGAACCTGCCAGAATTGACGATAAAGTCAACTTAAAAATATAAAAACTAAATAAATTAGAAAATAAACCGCAAATAAATATGAGGGAAATAATAATTAAATGTTCTGCTTTGATTTGGCCGACTGAATGAAACCCAGACTAAATAAGTGGAGTTTGTGGTTGTGAAGTGGAAAAGTTAAATGCCACAAAGTCTTTTGTCAGGCGCTGTAAGAGTGAGTGCGGCTGGATCATGCAGACCTTCAGCAGCGCTGTCACGTCCCGAGAGTCCTAAAGGAAACATCTGAGGTCATGTTCAGCATTTAAAAAATGTCGACAATATCAAAAAAACATTTGACATGATCGAGTCATTACACGTTCCAGATTGTTCTCAGCTCATATTCCTGGGCTTTGTTGCTCCTTCCCTGTCCAGATTAGTGAAAACAGAAAAAGTTAAATGGTTTCCAGACCTTAAAACTTCCTCCACCTTTACACAAACCTCTGTTTAACCTGGAGAAAACCAAACCCTGTGCATGATGCTCATACTGTTTCAATGCGGATGCCATGGTATTTAGGGATGTTTATGTTGCTTTTCGACAAACACTCCTTCTTGAACTGAGCCCCTAAATGTCTATTCAGTTTCATCCCAGAATAACATGTTCTACTTGGTTCTTGAGATGTTTTCATTTTTTTGGATGTCAGGTTTCTGACTTGAGACCTTATTTATCTGTTAACATGACTGATGTTGTGTGTAGATCACAAGAGGTCCTTTTAGTTTTTTGTAATATTACGCAAGAGGAAAAAGAGATTTTTAAAAAAGCAGATAAATTACACTCTGGCCTACGAAATCATGGGGTAGACTGCTGACTTGATAGTTACCCAAAAGGCGATCACTGATTTCCTCCTTTAGGAGCTTAAGGCACAGAAGGTGACTACTAAATAATCTGGCTGATTACAATATGCAAAATGTGAATGTTAATGGAAAGTTGAGCGGAAGGAAAAAAAGACACCAAGGTCCCAGAATCTAAAGGAAGGGCAGAGTCACAGAGTCAAACCCTTAGTTCCATTGTAACGTTTCCTCTGTGATTTTGGGAGCCAAACCATCTGTTTGAGTCTGCGTTCGCTGGTGTTGACAGGGACTTCTGGAGAAGTTGATGCTTCCTTTATTCCCACTGGAAAATAAATATTGTCAGGCTAGAAAGAAAAGAAAATGTTTCTCACAGCTGGGCCCTGAGCCTAACGTTGCTGTTGTGATTTGCAACATTAAACAGGAAAAGCAGTTTTCCTTGAACTTGAAAGCTGACGATCTGATTTTAAGAGGTTACTAAAAGTGCATAAGTGTGTTATTATTGCGAATTCCAAATAAGCCTTTTAATATCTGTTCCCTATAAAATTCAGTTTCGATCTGTTCTGCCCTGGCTCATTCTTTTACCACCTCCAGAGAAAATGTCAAGCGGAGCACCCCAGACGGATTTGTCGAGCTCCAACCATGAAGCACAACCGCAGGGAGCGGGGAGGGGTGGCAAGTCGGAAAGTGTTTGAGCTTCATAAATCAACCCGGTGGTGTTTATTTATTAATACAGCCCTGAAGCCCACACCTGGGTCCTCCACATCCACACATGCATCACGAAGAATGGAAAGATGGCAGAGGAAGGAAGAGGAGCTTAGATACAACTCCCAGGGGCGGTGACAACAAGCGCGTCATTCCAAAGTAGGAGGCGAGCAGAGTGATAGATGAACATGTGGTGGAGCAGATGGAGTCGGGGAGTGAGGGATTGATGAGCTGATGGTTGAGGAGAGGAAGTCTCTGGGGACTTGAGATCATTTAAGGTGTAAAGAGGGGAAGAGAGCAATCGTAGTGGGAGATGAGAAGATTGAACTGAGGGAGGGCAATCAGCCAGAGATGTCACAGTCTGAATTTACTCAGCAAGCTGGGATTCTGGTAGTTTATCGACGGCACTACATCTGTTCCATCACCGAGAGAGACGAGGAATGACAGCAGGTTTCTTCTACAGCTACTGCTGACGTTACGTTAAAAAAAGGCAACACTGTGGGGCAAAAAGTCACTGCCAGAGGGCCTGCCTTTTGGGGAAAAAAAACCCTCTTTGTTGCCTTGATGTGGTGATAAGCTCAGTGGAACAAGGGATTCATCTTTTTACTTATTCAAGTGATGGGAGTGTCACTTCTACCTGATCTTTTTCCATGTCCCTTGAGGACCAAAGAGTACATCACATGCTAGAAAAACATACATCTATGAAACCTTGATGTCCTTTGCAACCATAAAGTTTGCAGAGCTGAACTGTCTCTGGTTGTCTCTGTGGAAAGACAAACTCCTCCGACTTGATCACCCTTCCTTTGGGGATTGCACCAGGGATGTGTTTTAGTTCCTGATCATTGCTCGTTTCACTATAACATGCAAAGTCTTCGTGGAACATGTAGGCATTAAACTCAAAACAGGTGGTTTGCAAATTCTGTGGCTTAATTTAAAATTGGGGAACGCTTTAAATCAAAGGGAATATCAACATGTGCTTTTGGTCAGTTGAAATAGATATTTTGCTGTATTTCACAGTCCAGTCCTAGACAAATGATACATTGTTAAAATCTGGAATTTTTCAGGAGGTGAGGGGAGGGGCTTTATGAAATAGCATTCGCTCAAGAGCTTAGTTGCATGTTATCTGCACCAACAAGATTTAATGTGACTGTTGTGATCCAGTTGTAGGGTTTTAAGCTAAATTTGTGATATACTTGAAGATCAGCATGCTCAAAACATATGGCGTCAGAAGGGGTCTGTTGATGGATGAGTGTTTGCTCCTTCCTGAAGGTCCAGATGGAACGCGAGTCTCTTCTTCCTCGCCCTCCAGGTTTACGCAGCCACATTTCTCTGCTGTATACGAATGTGACATGCACATTTAGTTTCACAAAGGTCCTCATACCAAAAAACACAAAAAGTTGCACATGACCAAAAAAAAATAAAAAAAATCCTATCACTGAAATAACTTGACATTAACAAATGGAATAATTCACTGGAAATTATCCAATGTAAATCAGACATTGAAATGTGACACAACAGAATCATTCAAAGAACAAACAAATTAAACAACCTTGGACAAAACTGAAGTCGCAGTTTGAGGTCGTGTTATGACAGGAATGTGAAAAGTTTATCAGGTGTGAACATTGTTGCAAGGCGCTGGGTTTACACCGAGTAGCGGCACTGCAGTAACTTCTTGATTAATTGTATTTTTGTGTCTTTTCTCTCTCGTCTCCAGATCGGATTTATGTCAGTCACAGTTTTTCCAGTCCGGCTGCTGTTGGTCTCTTTCTTCATGCTGCTGGCGTGGCCTTTCGCCTTCACGGCTTCGCTGGGACGTTCTGAGCTCGTCCCCGATCCACAGTCGTGGTGGAGGAGGTGTGTTGGGGCGAGATGGTACAGTAAGAGACATTTATCAAAGGCGGGTTGCAACGTCTGTAGACCTGACAAAAAGAAATTAATGCATGAAACGTTGGCTTTTTCAGAATAATAGATCTTTGTCTTCGGGTCATTATGCGAACCATGTGGTTCTGCGGTGGTTTCCATTGGATCAAAGTGAAAGGGGAGCGAGCGCCGCCTTCTGAGGTTCCCATCCTCACCGTAGCGCCCCATTCCTCCTACTTCGACGCAATCCCAGTCACCATGACCATGTGCTCCATTGTCACCAAGCTGGAGAGCCGCAGCATCCCAGTCTGGGGCAGTGAGTCGTTGACATTTTCATGCTTTACAATAGGAACAATGCAAAAAGGGAAGACGAGAACAGTGTTTGTATGGAAATCTTCTAGATTTAAAGAGTCTAGTCTCTCAACACATTTACACGTCCTCAGGGCTGCGACAAACAATTATTTTAATAATTGATTACTCTGCCAATTAATTGATTAATTGGATGCAAAATTCACACAAAACCTCAATTTTTAAATTTTTTTAGTAGATATTAGAAATATATTAGAATACACTTTATTGATCCCCAAGGGGAATTGCATATTTGTTGAAAGCTACTCCATCTTAGGTGATAAATACAAAGTTTGTAAAACACACATACACACACACACACACACACACACTCACATATATATATATATATATATATATATATATATATATATATATAATATATATATATATATATATATATATATATATATACATATTATATATATATATATATATATATATATATATATATTTAAAATCTGTGAGTTACTAATAGAGTGAATAGTTCAAAATGACTAGATATAAACAAATAACAAGCAATCACATGCAATATATCAATCAATAAATAAATGTAATTTAATCAATAATTATGTACGTTGATAGACTTTTAGTCTTTGCAGTAGTTTTTGCTGCATTTTCTTACATTTCTAATCACATATTTTCCTTCTTAATAATTAGATTTTTTTTTCTTTCTCTCATATTGGCTTTTAAAATGCATCTCTTCATCATGGCCTCCCCCAGCTCTGATCAGCTACATCAGGCCCGTGTTGGTGTTCCGGTCGGATCAGCACTCCAGGAGAAAAACTGTTGAGGAGATCAAACGAAGAGCCCAGTCTGGAGGAAAGTGGCCCCAGGTGTTGTATTCACACACACACACACACACACACACACACACACACAAGTCGAACTTCAAAGGCAATCAAAGAAACTAAAGAATGTTTTCCCCTATTTTTACGTGTATACTATATTAATGTAAAATTCCTTGTTCCAGATCATGATATTCCCTGAGGGGACATGCACCAACAGGTCGGGTCTCATCTTATTCAAGGCTGGTATGTTTTCTGTACAAGATTGATTCACTCTTATCCATAGGTGTAAAACAGAAAATATTAATGTCTGTAGTTACATTATTAGTAGGTTTTGTTTTTCGTCCAGAGCAGCAGGTGATGCATCACCAGAACCCAAAGCAGAACCGTTTTTGTTTGGTGTTCTGGCTGATTTCCAATAATGGGTGTGTCTGCATTACCCTCTGCGTGGCTTTTCAACAGAGTTTGTTTGGACTTTATGTGACTATTTGTGAACGGATTCTGACTGTTGCAACCAGCTCCCAGCGTTTATGTCAGAACAAATTAAACCCAGCAGACGTGGGACATTTGGCGTCCTGCTGCTTTGGAACATAAAAGTCTGATCCTTTGCTTTCTTTTATCAGTCTTGTTTTTTCCGCTAACGTCCATGTGTATGTGTGGGCACACGAGGGGTGCTATGTGGTCAGCTATTGTCTGATGCCAGCTAGTTCTAATCCCCTTTTTTCCAGTCTGTTATTCAGTGGTTCCCAGTAAGCCCTGTGGGTCGGTACGGCTCTCGTTGTGTTTGCATATACGTGGGTTAAAGCCAGCTTGATCTTTCTGATCTGTGCTTCCAGTCCTCTCTGGACATGTCTCCTCCTGTTTTGTCTCTTGGTGCAGCACACCAGCTATGTTTGGCTAGATGTGCTTATGCTTTCTATCTCCTTTCTTCAACTCAAGAGGTTTTCCTTCACTTTCAATTGTTAATTTTGAGAACCACTTTGTATTGATGAAAAAGCAAAAGACTTGAATATATTTAACAAATGCATTTGCCTTTTGCTTTCACCTCAGTGGTGAACAGAGATGAGGAAACCGTAGCTGTGTTGTTATATGAGATTTAGGTGAAAAATGATTGTTACTGTATATCTTTTATTAAAGACCTGCATATGAATTATACATGTGGCCTGTTTGACTGTTTATTTTCACATAATAAAGCCTTCAGAAGGCACACAGAAGCTTGCAAAGGTCTTTCCTGAGGCCATTAATACTGCATGTAGCTGTTCAGCTCGTCTGTCATCATCAGGATACATTAAAGTCCCAACAGGGACGACGCCTGCCAGGAGGTTAATCCAATCCTGTGCGGTTGTAGATGGTTTTTGTGTTCTTACTCTTAATTTTCTCTCATTTTTGTGTTTAAAAGGTGCTTTCATCCCAGGACTCCCAGTGCAGCCAGTGGTGCTGCGATACCCAAACAAACTGGTGAGCGTCTTCTTTCATCCTTCCATATGTTGACCTTGAGACCCGCAACCCGGTCCGACCTCGACTTCATACTTCGTGCGCTCTGAGCATCGTCTGATGCGATGCGTTTGTCGTGTCAGGGTGCGTTTCCCCTCTTGTGTCGACCGACTTCGTGTCCCAATGGGATGATATTTCACCCGTTTGTTTCTCGCGCGCTCACACTCCCCGACAGGTGTCACATCTCCTCCCCCGCCGTCGCCTCTCCTCACACGCTCGCTCATAAATGATGCGGCTGGTATTACCGGGGTTTGCATGTCCGCTTCCCTCGAAAGTCTTTGTCTCGACTTCTCCGTTTACTCACCGTCCTGACTTTCGAGACAGCTGCCAGCCCTATGTGTTTATTTGCCTTGCTAATTTCAGCTACCATTTGTTGGTACCATGCTAAATATAGCAAGAGGAGGAATATATTTTTCAAAGGTTTTGAATAACTGGTGAAAAGTGATCCTGTTGTGTGTGTCGTGACATATTTCTTCCGTCTCTGCAGGACACTGTTTCGTGGACGTGGCGCGGCCCTGGAGCGTGAGTTTCTATCTGTGCATAATGATTCCTGACAGATCTGCGTATGATTGGTTACGGCGCAAAAGTTTTCACTCTTTAACCTTTTTGCATCAGAACCACAACCTGCAACTCCTTTTACTTCCATTCCTACACCATTTTGAGTTAGAAGTAAAGTTGCACGTTGTTTCAACGGTTTACAAATAAAACCTGAATGTGTTTTTGGTCACCCGATCTACATCTTTTGCCGTTGGTCTACTAGCTCTAAAAATATAGCAAACTTTTTCATCAAATGTTTTTTTAAAAGTTAATATTATTTGTAGAGTAATCCGAAAGGATCGCCGTTGGATTTCGGTCTGGACTTTGAGTTGGCCGTCCCAACATGTGTAGTACTTTAATTTAAACTATTGCGCTGCAGTTTGCCGTGTTTATTCATCTTCATGACGCTGTTTGTTCACTAATGTTCTCTAACAAACCTGTGAAGCCTCCAAAGAACAGCTGGATTTACATTAAATAGCACATTGTAGGACTATTTGCAGTAAATTTCAGTAGAATTCAAACGGCTTCATAGAAACATACGCCACAGTTGTCAAATTTTTATATGTGAAACAACCCATAACTTTATCACATTTTGTCACTTTGTGACAGTTCCTAAGACGTCATTTCAGTTTGTGGTCATAATGTGACAAAACATGAGAAAGGAAGGAATGTGAATACTTTTGATTGACTTTAGAAACACCAGTAACCTGTTTCCTGTCAAAATGAACACAAATGCTACAAAACGCCAGTTATTTATTTATGTTTTCTTCTCCTTCAGGTTTAAGATTTTATGGCTCACTCTGTGTCAGCCTCATAACTCCATCGAGATCGAGGTGAGCGTTTAAGAAGCGACACTTTTCTCGGCGTGCTGTGATTACACCGTGGCTCACCTCCTCTCGCCGTTCTCTGCAGTATTTACCCATCTATCACCCGTCAGAGGAGGAGAGGAAAAACCCCGCTCTGTTCGCCAGCAACGTCAGGAAGCTCATGGCCGAGTGAGTTCGCGCGCGGCCGTGCTTGCACAAACACCGGGGAGCGGGTCGCCTGCTTGTGTTTGAGTCGAGTTTAAAACCCACTTTCCTTTTTGTTCGTCTCACGGATGTTCAAACGTGCGCTCCGTCCTGAAAGGGTGCTGGAGATTCCCCTCACAGACCTGTCCTTCGACGACCGGCACATCGTCCTGTCACACGGCCCGCTGAGGATACACGACTGCACCGGCCTGCTGCACTTCAACCAGCTGCTGGGCCGACTGGGGTGAGTGACGGCAGAGGAGAAAGAGAGCGGACCTGTTGAACGGGCCGGGGAGAGGATCCAAGTGGAGAAACACTGACCCCTGCTGGTGGACGGAGAGAAACGCACAGTCGTAGGGCCTTTACTGGAACTTTACTTTTGCAAGCTTAGATCTTCAGGTGTTTCTCACCAAGTAATCAACTGATCTAAGACGTATGTGTAACTACAGGGACGTGCAGAGGAGGGAGCAAAAGGGGCTGGAGCACAGATCAAAGAACATCTAGAGTTATAAACTCTTCCATTTCTACACATCAGATAGACAAGCAACTCTGACCCGTGGCACTTTGTTTTTGGAAGAATCTTTACAATGGAAGATGTTTTAGTTACAATGTTTTACTATTTACTTTTGGGGCGGGATACTTAATGACAACAGGAGTGAGGAAGATTTTCAATAAACTGCTTCCTCGCATCAAATTTGAAACGAGTAGCTATCAGGACGACTGCACAGAATGTCATCAATGATTACCTTTTCAACCCTCCTCCCGCTGAAAAACAAACCTCCCTGGCCGGGGAAAACTCAGACAGTACTACTGAAGAGACGACTGACGTAGAGAAGGATTGTGAGAGTGTTTAGACAGCTTCTGCTTCGAAGAAACAGGGGTTAGAAGACGATTTCTCTAATCTTAAAGGAGAAACTTCCCCGGCTGGGGAAGTTAGCAAACAGTGCACTGACCACTAACCTTCTACTCTGAAAACGACCCATAAAGAGAAATCCGTCCATTTCGCTGCTCTACCCGAACCGTATAAATATCAAAGACCCGGCTGTTATGTTTGTTACGAGGAGGAATAAAAGAGGAAATGTGTGGCCAGTTGTCAGTCGTGAAGATGACTGTTGTACCGTATTTTGACTGAAAACATGTTACTGTTTACAGTGTTGCTGCAGCATCTTCTGCTATCACTAGATAGCAGAAGGTGCTTAATAGATTTTCTTTAACAGTTTTCTTTATTGGGTTTTGTCACCAGGTGTATGTTTTGTTGTTGTTGTTTTATCTTAAATATGCATATATGTCTGTATGGTTTTGGCTGAATTATTTCTCTGGGTATGATTTTTTTCACCGTTTACTCCAGGTAATGATTATGGGCTTTTTGCACCTGCCGCACTGACGTCTTTTTTCCGCATTCACTTACTATGTCAGCTATAAAAGACAAAGTCGTACTTAAGACACAAATAAAACAATACAATGCACTTATGCTTAAGTTTTCCTGGATTTCCAAGCGGTCCTAAATTAAGAAGACCGTGGCTTGTAAATATTCATCTACCAGTTAAAGCTAACACCGCACAACAAAGTTTGCAGCCTTCACTCTGGATCAGCTTCTTCAGCCTAAAGATGAAGGTAAAGGAGCCGTCCTGTGTTATTTCTATTGGATCGCTTCTGTATTCACCCTGAAAGAATGAGTGTTTGGGAATGAGCAACTGATCCGCCTGTACCCACTGCTGTAAACACCGTCCTATTTGAGCCCTTCACAAGAAGCATGCAAAAGTAATAAAACGAAATAACACAGAGACCTTAAGCAACACGGCCATATTTTTCTAAAAGTAACTACTCTGAACCTGAACAGTCAGCTGAACTGTAACTCCAACACCAGAGCTGCTCTACTGTACGGTCTTGTTGTGCTTCGTCAGGCTTCGGAACCATTTGTCGTTAACAATAAACACGTAATAAACTTGAAAATAAGGTACAAACATTGTCCGTTTGAATGGGTGAGAAATGTTGAGACACTTAAATAGCAGATTTTTATAAGACAAATGTCCGAGAATATTGTCTACTAGCATAAGCTAATGTTAGCCACAAAGTTTAAAGAAAGTAAAACTCATCTTTGTATCTGTGAATGTATAACGAGGCGAACATCTTCAAACCTTTATCCGGCTTACTTGTTGGGGCTTCGGATTGATGTACATTATTAATTGTTACTTTGAAAAAGCCCTGCAGATATCCAGTGTAAAGTATCATTTTCCATAGATTGGAAACAATTGAGCCGCTTTTCCCCGAATGCGGAAGCTGAGGTGCAAAGAGCCCATTGGGGCCTGCCTATAGCAATGCAGTTACAAACTAGAAACTAGAGTGTAATAATTTACACTTCGTTAGCATGTGGGAAGGACTGCGATTTTGACCCCAAATAAAATTCAAAATCGCCGTCACACCCACAAATATCGCCCTATCGGTATCAAACTTGGTCATGACATTGATACGCTTGCCTGCTCCGGTAAAATGTTTTCGAAATTTTGCTAGGGCTTACTGTTTTCTGTCAAGATGCTTCAGAGTGAAGTCATGGGAGAGGATTTCCACAAGCTCAGCCAGATTGACTTTAATGTATTTCTGAAAAATGTCAAACCTCAGCGCACACCATTTTCATCTCATCGCTGTTATTACTGTGAGTGATGTACAGATATGACTCGCGGGACCTTTGGAGACGACAAATAGCACTCGCATACGCTTCAAACGGTTTTCCGATATGTATCACGGTTCCCGAACGGGAAGGAGTTGTTCGGACTGCTTTTTTATGTCAAATTGACACCCAGTTTTAAGTGTCAGCTTAAACTGATACTTAAAGATCAAATTCTTTCTCCACCTTTCTGTCTCACACACCACAGTTAGCAGAGGATTAATTACCATAGCAACGGAACACAGCAGGTCCGAGCAGCTGATTAGAACTACAAAAACGCATCACTGTAGTTTTTACTATGGCAGAGCTCTGAGGACTGAGCTGGTCTTTAGAAATACTTGTTTTGGCATTTTATAACTGATTTTAACCAACCATTGTTACACACAGGATTAATGTTGCCATTTCATATGAAGCTTGCTTAAAATTTCAAAATAAAAGCCTTGACAATTTTTACATCAAGTAATTGCACTTTTGACCATTATATAACTGATTTAACCCAATTGCTGTTAAACATGGGATTAGTTTAGTCCTTTAAAATTAAGTTTACTGAAAATTTCACCTGCATTGTTTTTTTTCTCTCAGGTTAGGGAACTGTCTTGCACATCAAGATAGTGCATTAACATTAGCACAAACATTAGCATTTCACTGCCTCCCACTAGTGCACTGTCATAAGCAGTGCAATTAGATTAGCCAGCATTATCTTTTACTCTCTGGTTAGGGTAGCATTAGCCTTTTACCTTAAATGAGGTATTAACCATTTCTCTTACTTATTACCCATGTTTAGTATACTGAATGATATAAGTCAATTACAGACAACATGCTAGTGATGCTCCACATGCTTCTGAGAGTATTCACGCTAACATTAGCATTTTGGTTAATTTTTGCTAATACACTCATTTTAACATACTGAATGGTGCAAGTCCATGTTAGTGAACATTTTTTTGATTCTCCACATGATATTTTGTAATTTCTTAGCCAAGTTTAGCATCGATGCTAATATTCAGCATCAGAACGCTGGGTGCCAACAGACGGGCACACTTTGGCAGGCCTGGTTGAACGTCTTCAGGAAATTTCTAGTTCCAAATAATCCATTCGTCAGCAATACCGATAATGGCATAACCAAAATCTGAAACGGAAATAAAAACGCGCTCAGAAAGGTGTGTGTGTCAGAACTTTTCCCCTCTTGTTCTCATGATGGCAGGTTAAAGTCGGGGAGCAGAGGCGACTCGCTGCAAGAGGAGGCCAGACGGGCCGCCAAGCTGCAGGAGGACAGACTAGGACTGCAGGACTTTGCCCAGTTTCTCAGCCTTCCAGTTACAGACACGCTCAGACAAGTCCACAACCTCTTCCATCAGGTCAGTGTGGAAGGATAGAGGCAAATTAATCTAATTCAAATGTTTTAATTAAAAAAAAAATGTATAGAAACTAATAAAAAATGGCAAAAACTAATGAAAACTAACTGAATTAGTCAAACAAAAAGTCACAATGAAACAAAACTATAATAAAAAGCCGCAAACTATTACAACCTTGGCAAACAAGGTTGTAACACTCAAAATTCAGTGTGTTGAATTTTGAGGAAATAAAATCGAGAATAAGACTCTAACACAGAATGGGGAAAAATGAAGCGTTGTGAATACTTTCCAGATGTGCTGCACTTCCTGTTTTACGTTGGACTAAATTAGTCTTTTTATATCAGGACGGAGACGGAAAGATAGACGTCAGACACTACGTCACCGCTCTGTCTACTGTACACAGACCTCATAAACCCATGGACACATTAAAACTGGCCTTCCAGGTGAGAACAGCAGCCTCGGTGAGGTGCTGCTGGTATTTGTGTGGGTGGTTTGGGCCACTGAGCTAAAACGACCCGTCGTTGTGTTGCAGATGTATGAGGACGACAGCGGGGGAGTCACAGGAGACGATCTGGCTGTCATTTTCGAAATAATGTTGGGCGTAAAGGAAGTGGAGCTTTCCCCTCTGTTCTTTGAACTTGAAGCTCAACACACAGCGAAGATCACTTATGGTAAGACGTCGTCATTTTCTGCCTTACAAATGATTTACTTCACTGTTTTTATTGGGACTTTATGTAATAAAAGCCTCGTTGAGAGACGCACTGAAAACTGTCGACTGAATGTGCTAATATGCAGCAATTTCAGGTACGTTGCGTAATTGAAACCATGTGAGACGATTTCTGTCAATGTGTCCCCATGTCTTCATCTGAGCTGCCGCAGTAACTTGATATTTTCTTCTGAAGAAGATACTGACCGCCTACTTTTTCTGCAAAGTGTTAAAGCTGTTTTTCCACAAAGTTTTCTTTACAGATGTGCGGAGCACGCGCAATGCAGAAACATCGCATTGCACTGTTTCTTGACATTAGCAATGCGGTGTTTCTATTGAATGAGAAACGCAGTTTAAAATCACACGTGAATAAGTTTGTTCACGTGATAAGTCGGTTAAAAGACATACCTCACCTTCACTCTCTTACCACTTCCTGTCATCTTTATCTTTTCCCGCCATCAGTAACATCCAGTTGTTGACCACACAACCTGTGTGATCTGAGAATTGCTTCAGTTGCAGTTTTTGTGAAATACGCTAATTTCGATGCAAAAACAATTTCCTCCTAGTGTAAAAACTTTATTGAAAAAACATGTCTCCCCCTCCAAATTTGACTTCTTTCCATTAAGCTAATTTATTTTTTTAATTCCAACACAGCTACTCTTCCCATCATGCTGTAAATCTTGTTCATCTTTTAAAACAGTCCAGAAAATCTCAGCTCCGCAGGCGTGAAACGGAGATTCTAATCTGTTGATGTGAAAGGATCTTTATTAATCACAAGCTGCGCTTTACGCTGTGGCTACTTCCTAAAACTCTTGAACGTGTTTTTGTCTCTTCCTGTGGCCTAGATGAGCTTCAGCGTCTCATAGAGACACGTCCACACTTCTCCGTGGACTGCCTCGGTTTTCAGGATCATCCTCGTCGCGGCTGCATCGGCCGGCTCAACTACTGCAACGGACACAACAAAGACGACTGAATAACAGACTCCATGTTCTGGTTTGATGGCTCCTTCAAGCTGTTGTGAATCACCTGCTACATCTGTGCCTTAAAGTGCAGGACAAGAAAGAGAAATCGGTTTTCTCTGCCTTTTGTTTTAGAGCATACTTCGGTGTAAAGAAGAATTTTTAAAAATGTGTATGTATAAAATATTAATTTCTTACGCTAAAATTTGAGAAGTCAGTTTGATAGTTTTCTGTAAGTAGAAATCACTCAGGTACAGCAAACACCAGATCACTTATCTTCTCTTTTGAATGACAGGGCAATATTGCCAGTGCAATAAAAACGACAATTAAAAAGCAATGTTATTGTTACTTTGCTGTAACTTCAACTGCTCTATGCAAGGAGCAAAACTGTTGTGGTGGTTTTATTAAATGCTTTAGAAGAGTCGTGCTCCTAGAACCGGTTTAAAACAAACAGAAAACTGTGAGAATGTGAAGATGATGAACTTTCAAAGAGCTGCAGTTGAAAGAATATCTCAGCTCTGTGGCCTTTTCCCCAACTAACAAAGCAAATTTTTCAGTTGGGGAAAAGATACTTTTTGTTTTTCATAAGTCGTGATGAAAAGACATTTTCTACCCTGTGACTGAATCGTCACTGTTTCTCTGTTTCTGAATGGGAATCATTAACACTGATATCAGGACTTTTATTAATGTACATTTTAAAATTCTTCCACTTGTAGTATTGACAGTCTCTGTTTATGCCCACCAGGTGGCGCTTTGATTTCCCTCAATCAAAATATGTGACTTCTCTGAAGCAGAAAAGAATTTAAACTTAAACCAATAATGTGTCCATCATTTTTTAAATATTCTTACATTCTTTGTTCTTTTTTCTCTTCTTCCTCTATTTCCCCTTCTTTTTTCAATTGCTGCTTTCTTAAATTTTTCACCCTGTCTTCATACCTTCAAACAAATCGTTACTTTGTTCATTTCTCACTCCTGTCATCCTTCCTCCTGTTTCTTCCTGTTTACCTGAGTAAATTACCTACCATTATTTTTGGCTTCCTTCCTTTATCATCCATTAGGCTTCAGTGAACATTTGTATTTTAAGAATGGAATTAAAATAAAAGGAACTTCACAATCTGGAAAAAGTATTAAATATTTATAATGGGAAGGAACCTCGTATCTCAATCTGCTCACATTAATTTCTTCAGAGATATGTAGAAAGTATGGGCAGTTTAGATTGTCATCTGCTCTCAGTCCAGATGGTGGCGCTAAGCCTCTGCGCTACAGGCACAAACCGAAGAGCCTCCCATGCACCAGTGCCCACCTGATGGACAGGAAAAGCATTACCTCATCCCTTCCTTTCATTCCTTCAGGTAAAAATAGACAGATTAAGCCTGGGCTTTGATGAGCCAAACCTGCAGAGGAGGTGTGGAAGCAGGGAGAGAGGGATCGGTGTGGAGGAGAGAGACTAAATGGATCGTTCTGCTCCAAATCCAATCCCTAATAGCTTGAGGGAGGGAGGGAAGGAGGAGGAAGAAGAAGAAAACAGTCAAAGAAAGAGGAGCGGCAGACTGGAGATATCGCGTAGAACAATTAAGACCAGCCTTCAGGGGATGAAGAAGCACCAGCTTTGTGGAGAACATGCAACTTCCTCTCTGCAGTCATCCTCACATTCTCCTGCTTCAACAAAAGTGGCTCCAGAAAATCATGAGAAGAGTTTAAATCTGATTGGGGCATTTATGAAAACCACCTCCACTCATCTTGTCAAAGAAAAGAAATAAATCTTGTGCTTTTTATCCCAACCTGCACCTAATCCCAGTCACTGCACTTTAGGAAACATTTGAACCAATCCACTGGAGATAACCGGGGACTTCTGTCAGGCAGGGCCCAATTCAGTACAGCTTGTTTGAAATTTTACAAGAATTGTAATGATTAATTTGGCATCATGAACTATATGTATTGTTTATGACGGTGAATCTGTTAAACCATTCAGGAAGTGTGCAATATTATAACTTGTGATCCTCTCCAACAAGCAACAGTGAATAAACTGGATTTACTTAACTAGTGTTTTTAATTCATTAAAATATGTGGGTATGTGTCACGGTGGGGAGCCTGGTAATAATGTGCCCCTGGCTGTTCACTCTGCTTCAACACACCACCCTGCAGTTTTTAGTTTGACTGCATGCTGGTAGCCGCGTTTCCATTAACCATAGGATTGCGCAAACGGAAAATATAAACTTAAATTTGCTAAATAGAAACATGGCAATTTTTTTGGGGAAAAAAAGCATTCCAAACCTTTTGAGCCAGGACGAGGCAGATCTTTTGTCAACGTCTGGAAACCACATTGGCAGAATATCGACAAAGACTCGCATACATTCGTAATGGAAATACAGCTAGGGATTCAGTTTCACTTTCATTAGTTGTAGGACTCTGGCCTTCGAACTGGTCTGGAGCCTCAGCTACTGAGAGAGTTGTTTGCCGAAGGTATGAACTCAAAGTTTTACATTTCAGCCATTCGCTAACGCCATGTTGGATGAGATGGCTGTACAACGCAGACCAAACGGCTTTGTTCATTTCCACCGCTAACATTGCTAAAACTATAGACAGGATACATTTCTAGCATGTTGTAGAAAACCGTTCACAACTTTTCCTTCTCTTACATGAAATTAGATCAAACGAATTTTGTGCTTGGCTTACAGTGGTAGTAATTATGCGACCAGTTCCTGTAAGCCTGACGAGTCACTTTCAACACAACATCCCAATAAAAATGTCAACTCATATCATTTTCCTTCCACCTCATGAATATTTTATCACAGAAAGCCAAATAAAATGCACTAAAGTTTGCAGTAAAAAAAGAGTTAAAGGGTGATTAATACCTTTTTGTGGGAACAGTGAATGTTTGTAAAAGAAGCTGGTGTAGCTCCACACATACTAGCGACGTTATGTTTCCTTGTGTTAAAGACTAACGTGGAAGCTGGATAATCTCCTCTCCAGCTGTCAAATCTCGTCTTTCGACTCTATTCAACCAGCAACTGCAGCTACGTCTTGGCTCTGATTTCGGAGCCACGTTCCTGTCGAGTTGGCGTTACTTAAATAGTTCAGCTTCTCAATGGATTTAAGCTGTGACCTGATTCTGTTAAACTATTCGCTGTTAAAGAAAGGATATATATTATTGGAGGTGTGATGGTGAGTTAGTGATTGACGACACAGAGGGAAAACGTCAACTTTGCTTGTGGTGCTGCATCCTTCATTGCCACTGACTGCTTGTAACTTATAACTTATGTACTCAAGCTACTTTCACGTAGCAATCGGTATGTGCTTGGCAAACTATGGAATAAGCCTCCCACTCCAGAAGCACAACACCTCCAAATTGCATGTAACATTCTCAACACTCCAGCACTTATAACACCTTTAAAGTATGCAACATTTTTTTTTATAAAGAACATGTTTTTAGTAACATTTTTAGTAAGACTCAACCGAGAACAGTTGAGTTTGAAATACGTATTTTACATATTTGCTAAAACTGTCATGTTGTGACAGTTTGTTATGAGACAGATAATCTGAAAAGATCGATCTCCTCCACCTCCGCCCTCAGCTACTATTGGAAGAAACACACCCTCCCAACCAAAATGAACCAATCAGAGCAAAGAGTAGAGTCAAAGCGCAATTAGTCAACCTCATGTACTTGCTGCAATTTACCATTACAGTACACCGTTTATGTGCCGACATCAGTGGCTATGCTAATGACTATGTTAGCTGCAGTGGAACAGATCAACAGAGCCAAGACTCGCACCTTGGCTCCGATTGGTTAATTCTGACAAGCAGAGAGGCTGAGGAGCTCAGATTATCTGTCCTATGTCATTCCGTCACGACACAGTGACAATTCAAACAGATATGTAGAAAAATAGATCTATATTGTTTATAAAAGTCACATACTGCAGCTGTAAATATAATTTGATAGGAATGTCAGATGTTCCAACTCCACAGTCCCCTATCAGGGTTTCTTAATAACTAAATACCAGCTGCCCTTTGATAGAACTGATTGCTTTGATGCGAGCTTCAAAAAGCTTTAGAAAGCATTCCAGCACCAAGGCTGAACATCTCGGTTTCCTTTATCCGGTAAGAAGGATTTTTTTTCTTCGTTTCTATAGATGAATAAACTCCAAGCTGTTCACATCTGTTGGTTTTGCTTACAGAATATTTCCATATTCACACTTGTTTACTAATGTTTTTCTGGTCTTTTCTGTTTTCATCCATCTTGGCATGCTAAAAATGCAAACACCAGCTAGCTGTGAATTAGCACAACTTGTTTTCGCACTTAAAGCAGCAACATGCGGTCTCAAGAGTTTTTTTTTTTCTTGTCCTCCTTTGTAACAACTCTGCTCATTTAAAAAAACGCTGCGGCGGTGCTTTCAACACTGAACAGGTTATTTATTTTTGAGTGAATCCTGCAGATCTCTGAGGAGAAGAGGAATAATATTCTCAGCACAGCTCAGCTACTGGATGTCGACATTTTATTTTTAACAAGGCTAAAATTATTTGAGATAATATTCTTACAAGGGGAAATACTAAGAACTACACAAAGTATCGTATTCATGTTGTCACAATCAAGCTACATCAGAAGCAGAACCATGTTTATCCGGAGACTTTTACAAAAACTAAATAACTTCGCTGCACCCAAATCTGCTTTTGTTTAATTTATCAGACAAGCGCCATTTTGTGACTGAAAATGAATTTACTCAAGCAACAACAAATATTTAAAAACTAGATCTTCTGTTAATACAACAAATGTAAAAAATCTGCTCATGTTTCGGATAGACAATGAGCAACAGCCTTTACCCTGCAAAAAGAAAATCCAGACCAATTCATTTGCTTGACTTTATTCTTTAATTTTCTTAGCCTGAGTCCTTTTGATTCGCTGATTTTTGGTGAATGTGGCAACAAATCGTTGGACACTCCTGGTCCAAAAATGAAATGAAATAGCTGAAAACCCCTGTTTCCAGCAAAGTTTTGGGTATGTTGGCTTTAAGTAGTGGTTGTACATCTACTCCTCTTCCCATTTTTGTCAATTTCCAACTTAAAGCAGTTTGACGTTGTTCTAAATTCTCCTGAGTCACTTTCCACATGTTCATGGTTCAATCATCTCACTTTTGAACATCTATTCTGTCACATCCAACAGCATAGCGCTCTCTCTTAATATATACTTCTTGTAAACATCAAATGTCAGAAGCAAGAAAATTAAAAAGAAATCCTTAGAAGGAGGAACAAGCTCCCTGCTGCTTTCGTCGCAGCGATCCAATTACATCAAAACCATGCCAAGAGGAAAGTGCCAAGGGCAAGGCTGCTTTTTCCAAGAACTCTTCTGCCCTGTTACCATTACGACTCCAATGATTAGATGGATTCTAAGCTGGGAGCATTCAAAAGCTTGATTAAGACGGTTTGGCATTTGAGAGAAATGGCCTTGTTGACAAGCAGCTATAAAAGCCTTTCAACTCAGCCATCTGAAGAGGTATCCACATAAAAAGCTGAAGAAAATGGCTACATGCACATGTGTACTCTGAGTGCACCATATTGATGGTCGATGGCTTCCACTCATAGAATATTGCAATATCCTTTATGCTTCTCCACTGCGTTGCCTATATGAGGCACTGAAAATGCATTTGATTAAGGGCCCCTCGGCACAAAAGACGCACTATGGAGTCCATTAGCCACAGAGACAAGCCAGGAGGAAATGCTTGTGTTCGGAGACGGCGAGGTGTAAAAAGGAGCGAAATTGTGGTTGAAAGGTTCAAGGCGAGCACCAAGGAAATGAATCAAAACTCTGTTTTGATGTGATTGTCTGGGAGGAAGAGAGACCGAGAGCCCGTGAGGCAGAGCGGGCTGTCGGCGGCACCGCCGAGCGGGTCGGCCACTCTGCCGAGGCGAAGCAGAAGCACAAGGACAATTAGAGAGATGACAGATGCTAGGAACCAACATGGGACAGGAAGCAAGCACAGCGAAGGAGGGGCGGTTCAGACCAGGCTTCTCTTCACGTTGTCATCTGTCATTGATCCAATATGGCAGATTGTTGAGTCTCTGTTTTCTATATAAAGCTGGCGAATCAGTGTTAAACATCGGGGAAGGGGCGTGTTTAATGCAGAAGTGCAATTCATTAGGATTACAGTTTGGTCTGATCACCAGATCACTTGACTCACTAGCTGCATCTCCAATACAAACTCTGTCAATATTCCACTGATGTTGAAAACTTAGTTTGTGATTGCAGTGTTTTAAAGAAATGAGCACAATTAAAAATCACACGTGAATACGTTTGTTTGCATGATAAAAAACATGCATTGGCATCATGCTCCAGCTACTCCCCGTTTGCCGTCTTTGTGGGCAACACCTGGAAGATCACATGAATTGTGTGATCCGAAAAAGTGTTTTCAATGCAGTTTCGCTAAATTAATTTTGATATCATCCCATCCTAGCACCAAAAATGTTTATCGAAAAACTAATTTATTTTTAAATTACCTTTTCATTAAGCAAATTTTGTTTTAGAAATGTCAGTTTGCGCAACTGCATGGTAAATGGGGATGCAGCTACAATGTGAAACATTCAATTCATTCCTGAAATCACCACACGTCAAATCAAGCGAGGATCTTCCAAACAGCCGAATGAACAGAACACGTTTCCTCTTCTCATTTTCCATGTTTTTATTGTCTTTTTTACACCCTACTGGAAAGCATCACTTCAAATGCCCTCTAAATCTGCTATTGTGTGCATGAACAGGTAGTTGGGGCTGATCAGAAGGCGAGCGCAGGTCTAATTCATCATTTCCAGTGAACGCAGTCATATCGCCATCCCTCTGGTAGAAGAAGAAAAAGAAAACAAAAACCGGACGGGTCGTCATTTAGCCTGCAGCGTTCTGTCCGGGGAGACCGGTGTGTGGCTGAATGTGCTTGTGAAAGCATCCATCCTGCCTTCAGCATCGGCCC